TAATTGCATTTTTCGATCTGTTTACCTTTCCACATATACTGTATAATTTTCGAGGAGCAGTGGAAGCAATTATGACAAAAATGAGGGGGAATTTTCCATAACGAGCCTTTCCAAGAAAAATACTCTGTCACCTGAAATAGCATTTCATCATGATTGCAGTTATAATTAATCAAAAGGAGACATTGTTTGTCACATCAAGGAACAACCTGTGATAGAATATATCACAGGTTAGAAGATAGATAGAAGGTAAGTATGACTAATCATAAGTGTACTGACAATTGCGACATACACAAAATCAGGGTCTTATGCAACAACAAAAGCTCTGTGGTTTTTGATCGGCAAACACAGGCCTCACTGGCTGATACAGCGTGATACAAGATGACTTTTATCTCTATGGTTAGGCAGAGCTAAGAAAATCAAAGGCATCATTTAATTGGAGCCCCTGATGAAACCTGGTTTTGCTGTCACAGAGGGAGTTCTCTGCTTTGGAAGAAACACATCAGTTATATCCATGGAAAAGCTGACTCATGATTTCACAAATACCAAATGTCTGCATGATAATAATAATCACTAATAGCTTGGACTGACACATTATTACAGTGGGAAGGTGACTGAACACAGCAGTTAAATGGAATCAGTGTGTTAGTGAGGAAGCCCCTGTGAGAAGAATGGGAATGTGTTTGCGCTCACATGTGCTGGAATGGAAAATGTAGCCATGCATTTGATGTGCTGACGCTCAGACAGGTTACGCAAGTGTATTGTGCAAGTGAACATTCTTTTACCAACACACTAGGGCTGTCAGATAGGTACAGTCTGCTGCCCTCTATTGTCAACCTGTAGTGTAATGAGTTTACCATATGGATTAAGAGCACTACTAAGCCCCCAATATTACATACGACTGCAGACATGGGCTTCAGACATTCAAGGATTCTCGTGATGGGCACAATGGCTCACTGGCATGGAACACTTGGATGAAACAGAGCCAGTGTAATTGTTACACATAGACTTGTGTCTAACATTAACTGCTAGGTAAGTCGAAGTATCAGCTGTTAAAAAGGGAAAAGCATAAGAAAATATGCTATGGAATATCCGCTCTTTATTGGTGCCATATAATGGTCCTTTATGATATCACATCGACATATTAATGGGTCAGTGAATCAGGTTTTTTTCATAATCTAAACGAGCTGTGTTCACAAAAATGTTCCTGAACTTTCTTTATATGGATACCCTTTGAATGTCCATGTGAGCCAGCACGTGTTTGGTTTGAGATGTGGTCTTCAATCTGCAGGACCACCAGCATCTCTGCTGTTTGTGCCAGAACCTGCAAATGGGAAACACGGGTAGTATCAGCAGTGAGGCATGGAAGTGCCACACTGTGAACAAACATGATAGCAACATGCTCCATTTAACCTTTAACTACCCACCTACTGTACCTACTATCCATAGTACCAACCGGGGGTTGTAATGGTCATACTCCTGCAGGTATTGGTAGGATACAGTCTGAAGCAGGGAGCTCTACGCCTTTGAGTTCATTTGGTAAACAGCCCGAATCTGTTTGAAGTAAAACCTGTTGGATTTCTTCACAGCACAGTGCTTAATCTCCGAGCCTCTTCATCATATACCAGCAAGAGCCAAGCTCCACTATCTTCACATCTCCATTTAAGATCAAAGTCGGCCTCAGAGCTCAACATCAGGGTCAGTGATCATTTTCTGGAACTCATTGCTTTCATTTCATTGCCTTAGCTCTGATGTGCTAGTTGTCACTATTTGAAGGCTGTCTTGATAGTTGATAGTAATTTTTTCTTACAGACTGTTAAGATATCCTTTATTTTATTTATTTAAATAATCTCAATAGACATTTATATTCCACATATACATTAATGACCAGCGCTAGATACTACAGGCAAATCGTCCTGATATTATTATACATTGTAAATATCAGTTGATTTGCTGCTTTGCAGAATATGCTGAAACATGCAATATCCTGATGCTGCAAGTGTTTGTACTTCCCTCTAAAAACTGTGTTGTAAAATTAGATGTGGTGAAAACCTGTAGCGTTTAGGCGTTAGCAGGATAATGTTACTAGAGGTCTGGTTGTTCTCATGGTACAGTAACATGGTGGGAGCTCAATACATATATTTAGTTGTCTTGATAACCCTTTGAAGCTGAGACAGATAAATAGAGATCACACCATAACATGTGTGGGACACCACCTAAATCAGCAGAGAGGAAAAATCCACCCAGTCCAGACCAGTAGAGCTGTTCACTGCTATTCTGGCTCAGCAGTTTCCTGAACACACAGTGCAATCACACAAAACTCAGTGGACCACAAGGACCCTTTTTTCACTTCTTGAGCTAAATTAAGATTTGTATAACTTTATCCCATTCCAGATAGGTTTTTCACAGGAAGTAATACTGTACGACCATAATAGCTAAACTTCTTAAGGCTTTCACTCAGTTCTGTGTTTTTGAATATGAAACATAAAAGCACATCATAAGTCAGTAAGGTTATCAGAGGTGAAACCGAAATGTGTGGGCTGCTGGGTGAAAGCTACGGCCCGCTTACCATCTCAGGCAAGACTTTCTATCTGTTACTTAAGTGCATTAAAGTTGTCATGAATCAAAGTCAACATACTGCAGGTTGGTATTGTGTTTTGGGTACATGTTTTTATGAATTGTATTGCACTTCCTGTATGTGTGAGAGAGCTGGCAAGCTGCGCTATCAATATTTTTGTATCAACAATGGAATATGAAATGTGAAAGGGGTCACTCATGGTGACAAACTCAGAGTTATCACCCAACTATACAGAGCTCTTTAGTGCCTTTTAGCTCATGGGTTTGGTCTTTTTGAAATATATCGTTCATTCATTCAGTAGGATAATCTCTGCCAAGGAGCATGCATTGAAGCTACTCTATTAAAACACTTTATGTTGTTTTTTCTATTAATCTGACACTCAGTAGCCCAAAATATCAGTATGATGTTATCTTCTTCTACCCTGTATCGTCAGAGTGTGGTGTTTATTTATATGGTGACCTGGTGGTGAGAGATTCTCCCTCCCTGCTTTCCGTTTGAAAAGCTATCTGTTTGGATGTATTAATAGTGTGAGGTAGGAAAGCACGCACACTTTCCGGGTGGGAATGTCAGAGGGTGTAACACACTATATGTTTCTTTTGAAGGGGTGGAATAGGTGATAAAAACAGTTAAGATAAGGACCGCTCAGACTTATTGTGAAGTAGTTTATTTCCAAAATAACAGCTAAATGAAAATGTTGCTACACTAAGAGTAAAATAGTAAATATATGTACCTGCCTAGTGCCCAATTTTGTGTTTCCAAGTTTTAAGATTTATGCTGCACAAACTCTTTTTAACAGAGAAAGCTAATTCAGTGTCATTGGATCCAAGTAGAATTCGAAAACTTCAACTCACCATGATCTGAACACCCCCATTGTTGGCAAGTCAGACTTTGTCACCTGGGGATTTGAGCCCTGGAACTTCAGACCCGTAGAGTAGAATAACTGACTGAGCTACTGTTGACAGTTTGTTTCCACACACCTTCTCTCAACTTGAGGCAGTGACATCAAATGTGCCAGAATCGGACATATTTATTCAGTTTAAACTTAAAAAGCAACAGTCAAAATGTTGGAAATAATTTTCTGGAAAAAAGTCACATCATTCTGCTGGTTTTGGGTGTGTTGTCAATTATTTTGGTTGCATTTGATCCAAAACTGAGCAGAAAAGAAAATGTTGTGCATACAGGACAAGTTACAGCAAAATATTGAATCACCATTTGACCGATCTAAAAACACTTTGAAACACTTTGAAACGCTTGATATCGGCCATGTAGAGAATGTTTACAGCGATTTTGGTAGCACAAAGACTTGTGGCGATATAGATGTTAATTGATTTAGTATATTCTGAAAAATATAGAGTGACTGACTTCTGAATGAACCATAAGTCGCAGTGAGGCAAAAGTTTGTCACATGTGTTGATGTGCTGAAAAATGTTCAGCTCTCTAGGATGTACGGGTGATTTTGTTGAAGTTTGAATGAGAAATGTGAAAATTTACATTTGTTGTAATAAGCCACGCACACTTTATACAATCATTACCAAATTTTATGCATCAACTGAGTAGTGACCCTAGACCTGTACAAATACATGCAGTCAGGGACATGCACAGATATTTAGGGGGTCAGGGGCTAAAGTGAACTCTTCTCACAATTATTGCTTTTTGAAAGTACAACAAAACGTTAAATACATTAACAAAACTCTGGCACAGTGTGCATGTGAGCGTTTATGTAAAATTGTATGTAAAGACACAAAAGTAAAAAATTTGGGGGGGGAAAGTGAGTGTCGAATCAAAATTATTTTGATAACTTTTGATGCAAAATCAGTAGATGATCCTACCAATTTTTTGGGTCAACTGGCCAAACGATGTTGCACAAGTTCTGAAAAAAAAATTTGTGATAAAGTGATAAAAAGTCGCATAATTGGACATTTTTAGAGCAGATGACCATTGAAGCAAATATGCTGAAGAATTAAAATGACAAAAAAGGTTTGACTCCAATCAAAGTCGTTTTCGATATGTTTGCAAAAACCTAAAGTTTATTGTTATAGCGCCACCATGAGGTGGCCTGAGTGATGCTTGAGTAGCTTCGCTGCTTGGATCCCTAAACTCAAAGCACTTCAGAGAGAAACTCATCTCAACCACCACCAGTGTGTAACACCCACCTGGGTGATTGACATCTAAATGAAAATGTTGCTACACTGAGAGTAAAATAAATTAGTATTCATTGACTTATGATAATAATACATTTTTAATGCCTTACTCTCTTATGAGAATGCACTTTAAATTGCCTTGATGCTGAAAGGTGCAGAGTGATGAAGACTTTCACCAGTAGATGGGGATGTTGACTCACTGTTAACCAATATTCAGCACTGATGGGGAAAAACTGACCCTGGCACTGTAGAATTTGATCTGTACTGTTATTGAGCAAAAGACAACCGTTTGATCATCATTTATTGATTAGTTTACAGATACAAATGTCATGTGTCAGCTGAAACTGTACAGGCTGTATGAAGCCAGTCTCGAGTGTCAACAGCAGACTGATTCATTCCTGCAAACTACACAGCAGGAACTTGTCTTGTGTGTGTATACAAAACTACATAAATTTCACCCTGAGATAATTACAAAACACTAACATAGAAAGATATGTCCAGTAATAAAGGAGAGACCCAACGCTACATTAGTAATCTCAGTGCTGAAATTTACCATACATGACTTGTTAGCATTCAATCAGATCACAGTACTTAAAAAAATTGGGTGGTGACTATGGAGTCTCAAAACTGACTAATCTAAATCAAAAATATAACTGAATACATCAATAAATTACACTATTTATTGTAGAATTTACATACATATTTAATTTGGAATATATTAAAACTTAATTAATTTTATTTGAACCAATAAAATGTTTGTATTTAGCACAGACACAGAATCATACTAATCCTTGGCCTGGACATACATGGACACGCCCACATCATTTTCATATGACGGAAATAGAAAACAGAAAATAAAAAAAGGACAAACTAAGGTATTAAAAACAAATGAGCTAGTGTGAAATAAATAGAAGAGTAAAATACATGTAGTATTATTTAAATCTATTAATTTAAAATTTGATAAATTAAGTTTTAATTTATTCTACCAACTGGTTGGTAATAAAAGAAAAATACCTACTGATTAAGAAAATAAACAAAAATATACCCTTTATTATTCTTTTTATACTCAATTTAATTGTTTAACTAATTGATGTATTCAGTTACAGTATGTTTTTGACTCCTAGGCTTTTAGTGTATTTTGTCTTCCATAGTTTCAAAGTGCCCTTAACTTCTAGTTCTGCATATGTCTTTTAGTTTCTTCAGACTCTCAATTAACGTTTTCACAGGGAGGGTGGAGGGAAGCACTGACCCAGATGCGCGCAGTGACCTGTGCCACTGTCTGTACGAACCAACAACTGGAACCTAAAATGGCTACAAAAGCTAAATTACATTAAGAGAGTCAAACTGAAAGATATTTTGGTAAATACAAATAAGTTTCTCAGAAAATATGATTGTCATAAAAAGTTTGGAGAAGCTAGCAGATAACTTGCCAAAGACAAAAAGTAAGGTCTTCTGCAACATTTACATGATTCGTGAATAATACTTGATTGTGAGGAGGCAATACAAAAAAAGTCTGCACATGTAAAAGTTTAGCACCATATGAAAATTCCAGTCCTGCTCTCTGTTTGTTTGTCTCTAGTGTTACATAGCGCTGGATGTGATAAAGACATAGATCCTGGCGAGGAACGAGGTGAACGTCCCCTGCCTCAGCAACTTCATTTCCACATCTATCAGGAAGTCTTTAGGCTCATGGACTTGTCTCTGCAAGTAGACGGCGCCCGTGAAGCTGTTGAGCTTCCGGGTGCTGAAGTAGCCCTCCTTATTGCCCTTGATGATGCTGATGACAATATGATCACCAGAGTAGGCCGGGGATGGTCCGATTCGGAAGATCTGGGCCGGAATGACGATGTTGGTCTGGAAGCTGAGCTGGTAGTATGTGATGCGTACAGGGGAGTTCTGGCAGTCTAAGGAGTTGCTGGGACAGCTGGTCCGTTCACAGCGTCTGTAGAGGAGTCAAGAAAGAGAGAGAGAAAGGAAGAAGATAAATGAACATAACAATATTTCTGAACATTAAAAACTTTAGAGAAACGCTGAAACAATGTATGTCACAAAGTCCACCTAGGTCCCATTTTGGTTCATTCTTCCTCTCTGTCGCTCCCTTCAGTCACCAGCTTGTCTGCCTCCGCCTACACTTGGGTCCAATACTGCATTTCCTGAGTTGTGATACCATGAAGGGACCAATTATGGACCCAGCAGGCGGCTCTTTCTTGAAGAAACTATTTGAGGTGACTTACAACAAGGTGACTTTGTGTCTTTGTAACGACTGGAAATATGCTTCCAGTAGTGAGGACAGGGAGGCAGCCATGTCATTAGCCATGTTTCCATTTAAATGTCAAGCAAATTTGATGCTATTTGACGTTACGCATGGCTGTAATGAACAAGAAGTGTGGGTTGCAAACCAGAAACAAAACAGTGACATGGACCTGAGGACCATGGATCCGAGAAAAATGGAGAGAGGTTTATGGAAATATGACGCTGACAGCAGAAACAGCTGATCAGTAGTGAGTTACATGTTCGCTACGTCAAAAATGGTTTGGCAAAAGTGTATCCATCTCCCATTTCGTGCATTAACTCTTTTGTGAAAAAGGCAAAAACCACCTCAAGCGAGCGTAAAAGATTTTATGTAAAATTAAGGAAGTGTTTTCAAATTTTGCCGTTTCCATCAACCTTTTCTAATACTAAACTTCAAAATGCACATAAAAAAACATTGATGAAAACACGGCTACTGGCATGCCAGGAAGGCCATTCTTCAAAGCCTTGGTTGAGGGAATTGTTGCCTGTGTGGGAAAAAGCTCAAAATGTGAACATGGTAAGCTGGTGAAGTTACAAGCTACTCTTAAAAGTAGCTAAAGTAGCATGCTACAAGCTACTAAGGAAACGTATTGTTTTATCGTTATAGACAAGAATTCCTTCATCCCTGTCTCCATTGAAGCCTTGCATGCTAATGGCAGGAGCAGGTAACTGCTGCTGTTGTTGACAAGTTCATTACTTTGGTGATGGTGATGATGGGTGGGAAAGGGGATGGTGGAGATGATGATGAGGATGATAGTTATGTTATGTAAAATTGAGGTGCAGTATCTGAAGTTGTGTGGTGACACCGACGTCCAGAATTATAGATACGTGTTATGTTCTGTTAATGGTTATGCATATTAAATCAAATGGTTATCTTGCTAGGGGATGTTGATAATAGTCAATGTGCTTTATACTATCTTTAAGCCCTGTGCGGCTATGGTGGACAGCCTGCTCCACAGGAGATTAAACAACTCACATGTGTCACATTACTTACATGTGTTCAGTCCTACTGCTGCATGTTTCTAGGCTTAATTGTATGTTTCTTGTGTTTTGTCTTGTTTTTTTATGCTTGCCGAAGCCCAAATTGCACACTTGGATCAAATAATAAAATTGATTGTAATACATTAAAGAGGTGGTATTCTGCTTTTTCCTCTCCTTTAATGAGTTCTATACTTTTTTGTGCATGTAACAGGTTTGCAAAGTGAAAAAGCCCAAAGTCCAGGGCCAAAGGGAGTTCCCATCTCCCACAGAAAGCTCTGCTCTGAACCGCTTGAAAACAGCTGGTTTGTAGTCCAGCCGCTTCCCTTTCATCCCTGTGACGTCATAGGGATGAAAGCTAAATGTGCCTCATATAACGCTCGCCAAGCGGCTACTCCGACACGCCCTCAAAAACACCGGTGGAAAAACACTGAGCTGCAGCACACACCTCTCCCTTCAAACACTAGCTACCCTCCAGGCAGTCAGTGGACATAAAGTTGTTACTGTGATGTAGAGACAGAGCTCAGTTAAAACTTTATGGATGAAAGATACTTTTGTTACAGATTAATAACTCACCACTCTGAAACTCTCGCTCCAGTCCATGTTGCCAAGCTGGTCGGCAACATGTACAGCTGAAACAAAGCTGTGTTTACCGGCTTCCAGCTGACCCGCCCTTCTCTGCTTCTGATTGGCTAGTAGTCCTTAACTAGGAACTGCACATGTGCAACTCCCAACAAAGATCATTTAGAGACAAGATGTATCACTCCATAGCTAAAAAGAAGCCTTCAACACAGGGTGAAAAGAGGAGCTGCAGCAATGTGCAGGATGACAAAAAATGTGGTGTTTTTTGAAAATGAAACCATGTAAACCTGTTGTGGTGCAACCTCTAAATAATAATATTTTGTGGTGTCATTTGTTATAACACAAAACATCTTTTGTTAGCAGTGTTGTTCCACACACTTCACTGATGAATGAATGGCAAGGAATTTATGTATACTATTAATTAACTTTCACTTCTCTCTTTCTGTCAGAATACACCCCCTCTCTATTGCTGTTTCATTCTCTCCTGAATCAGAAGAGTGTGGATGCGGGATCTGTGCAGCAGATAAAATGTAGCAATAGCCCAAAGTTACCAGACTGCTACTGGGAAAATGTAGTTAACCTGGTTACACATTCAGTATTGCTAGTCCCCATCTCTGCCCCCTGCTGCGAGGATTAAATGAAAATAGAAATGAGGAAAAAAGCAAAGCAATACTGTGTAGCTGGGGATAACGGTTGTCCTACAGTAGCTACTTGCAGGGCTTTTCCAGCCTGTATTCTGGTGCTTTGTGACTGCTTATCCATCATATCACAATTTACAGCCTTAAAAGTTGAGGTAGTGCACCATAACATTTCCACAGCTTATGCCAAAACAGTGTCTTGGAACCTGCGCCAATGAATCAGAGTGGCACTAAAGGCAGAGCAAGAGACATTTTAATCTGAGCCATGTGTCCATGGCTGCCAAGTCTACTCATGAATGAAAGATGTCTGTCCATGCTGAGCCTGGCCACGTTACACTGAGGCTAATAAGGTGTCTCTTGATAACATTGATAAGAGGCCTCCTGTGGGCTGTGTGCAGAATGTGTGTGCTATTGAGTCCAGAGACAGCCCCGGCAAGCACCAAGCTGATCAAAGCCATCTGACTTCATCATACCGCTCGATGGGAGTCATGTTCAGTTGCCAGCCAGCCTCTATAGCTGCCACAGGTTCATAGCTAACAAGGCCCTTCTGTGCAGCAGACTGCAGTGCAAGGACATGGATGTACAGTAATTCTCATTAGAGGGGCACAGGCTGAGAGGAAACCTATTGAATATCCCACATATGCAGGTCAATGCTTAAAGGGGCAGTATTTCAGGTTTTATATGCCCAGGATACCACAAAGTAACCATTATGCTATATATTAGAGACTTTATTGGTCCCACTTACTAATAAAACTTAGACAATGCTCTGCATAGGCTTAACTTGATCATCAAATAAGAAAAAGGCAACACTGGAGCCAAACATTTCAAGATTCCGAAGATGCCGAGAGAAAAAGGTAACTCACGTGTCTAACACCCTCTTGTAGTTGGGAGGGCAGTCAAAGGAGAGACATCTGAAGCCTCCCTGGAGGTTATAGCAGGTCTGTCCATGTGAACAGTTGTGGGTGCCAGTTTTGCATTCGTCAATATCTGGAAAAAATAATAAACAAAAGTGAGAATCTCACTGACAGTGTTTTAGCAGTTTGATTTTGAACAGGCTGTCTTGTAATTCATCATCGTCACAGCTGTGATTGTTATGTGACAACCCTCATAATGCAGAGTTTAGGAATGTGTGGAGATGTTTCTCTCATTCGTTTTTTTTACACAGGCATTCATCTCGGTTTTAATTATTTTTACACACACATGAGACAGAAAAGGTTCATTTTCAGTTTTATTTTAATTTCTTCTTTAGAAAAAGTTACTTTTTCTTAAAGTTTCTACAGTGCCTTTTACTTAAAGCTAAAACCGAGATGTAAGATAAATGAGTAATGGCATATTGCCGAGTACTTGATACCACATTTATAAATGAATGCACAGATGAATTCAACTGCACACTATCTCCATCAACATAGTTTAAACTAGGGTGTTTTTCTCTTGACATAAATCAGTTTAAATGAAGAAAACGTAATAAGATCCAAAACGTACTAAGATAAGATAATAATAAGTAATAAGATGTTAGAAAACTGCCAGAGATGAAAAAGGTAATAAATAAATCCATTTCATAATGTGTTCCAAATCTTTCATGGGCATGTCTGTGGAACAAGCTATGGTATGTTGTTCACAGGGGCCTCACCTCTGCAGGTGCGTCCATTAGAAGACATGACATATCCATGAGCAGGACAAGTACACTGGTAGCTGCCAACAACATTCACACACTGAAAGGCACAAAGGTTCCCGATGCTCTGGGAGCACTCATCAAGATCTGTTAAAAACACACATCTCGTCAGTCAGATTAGAGCCCTGTGTGGAAGCCAAAGGATTCAAATAAAGGTTCCAATAAGGCATCAGGACCTTTTCTCTTTATCTTTGTGTGTGTGTGTGTGTGTGTGTGTGTGTGTGTGTGTGTGTGTGTTTTCTATGCCTGCGTGACTGTGTTTTTCGTGTGTGGGGGATTAGCAACAGAAGCTACCTTAAGGCCCTGTCACCCAAGACAAAATAAAATCTCTTATCTTTCATGCTGCTGTCAATCTGCCCTTGCATTCATGGAAACATTGTATAATTATTTGGATCAATGACACTTAACATAAGCAATTTTAGGAGCTAAACTTCCTTCACCCATTCAGTCCTGACAGAGAAGGGTCCACTGTATTTCCCATATTCTGTTTCCCTACAGAGCTTCAATGTTACACCATACAGTTTAAACTGCTGCAGACACATCAGCTGCAGTCTCTACCAGAGAAAGTACTGCACAGCTGATCTGTTCCTTTACTGTATTCACCTCCGGTACACTGTGCATGTGTATGTTATGAATATGCAGAGACTTGATACTATTTTGCCCTTTTTTCAAGCCCTGAAATGCAGACAGTTACTGATGAGACCAGACTACCAATCAGTTTTCTGCAAAATGCCTTGTATCTGCAGGCGAGTTGAAGGTGCAGCACATTCCTGCCTTACATACCTTACTTTCACAACACATACACAATTATTGACATTTCACTTTTGTGTCCTCATTTGGTTGATACTGATATTGTTTCTCCTGCCAGGTTCCTATCATATATCCTATTTTCTGCTGTAGAGAAAAGGCTACCATAACAACTACTATTAAAGGCTCATTTAAAGCCTCTCTATATAGATTTTTATGTGAGTATAGCATTATTGTTTTTATTTTTTTTACAAATTATTGATTGGAATTATTGACTCGTCCTGCACGAGGCGGGTGCAGGACGGGGTATGGATCTTTTTGGGGATGTATGGCTTACATTGGTGTCTGCTACATTGTCTTTTTCGACACAAACATCAAACACTTAAACATGTAATGGCTTTAAAGCTGCACTGTTCTTTCCTTTGCCTTCACAGCCAGTGAACACTCCCTGGCCACTTTACTGGGTACACCAATACAAACTAATTCAATCCAATAGAACAGCCATGCAACATATTCTACCTTTATATAACCCCATATTGAGAAACACCTCTGAATATAATACAGTATAGTTCAACAAAACCATAAACTTCAACCTCAATAATAACCATGTAGTTAAATGAAGACCTCCTCTCTGACATATAATTGCCTTATGAAGTTGTTGTTACTAACATGTTAGAAATCAGTCAGATAATTATACATCCAGCAGATTTATTTCTAATATTCATTTGAAGTAGTGTGTCTGTCCAACTGGCTAATGTACAGTAAGTCCAGTATTCACTCTACTTTAAGATTTGTTCTGGTCCCCAACCAACTCTACCAGTTTCTACGTAGTAAGCTCGGTAGAAAATACCTTCACAGGTGTGTCCATCCTCTTTCAGGTAGTAGCCATGGTGGCAGTAGCATTGATATGAGCCATAGATGTTGGCGCACTGCTGGCTACAGGGGTTTTTGTCACATTCATTTACATCTAAGCACAGAAAAGAAAAGGCATGATTAGAAATATTCCTGATTTTCATATTCTGAAAGGATAACCCTGGCCTTATTCTGTATTGTTCTTATTGTCAACAAATCAGCAGGACAGTGTGTGACAGTGAGTCAGAATAAACTGCAGTGCGTGTTTTCATGGTAATGAAGGAACATGTCACCAAGTGCAACAGTGTGGCTCACTGATGTGTTTTAACAATTTCTGGATGAATTTGGAGCTCTATGGCTCAGAGGAAAAAGATCAGGCTCTGGTTACATACACAATACTTGTCAGTAGGTTCATTGTTGTTTTTTTGTCCTTTCATGGGATTTGTTGAAAATAAAAATATAAAATACTGCCAGCCTCATCTTTTCATGTAATAAATTCCACCTTCTGTTCCTGTAACAAAGTCGTTTGTGTACTTTGTACTTTGTGTATTTGCAATTTTACTTTTAATGACAAAAAAGGAGTTACTATAGTGATTTCTTAGGAAGAAGTATTGTGGCATTACCACTTCAGTCATTTTGACGGTGCAATGATGGTCTGAAATGCAATTTGTTATTATATGTTATAACAGCTTTCCTAAGGAAGACAAGCTTCAAGTGTCTGGAATGTAATCTGAAAAGCATTAATCAAAATTTAATTATGTTGCTCAGAGAAGCTTTTGTGAAAAAAAACCCAGATACATGCAAAGCTTCACCTTTGGATTGTGAACAGAAACCTTCACTGAACTTCACTTGATTAAGTTCCCTGAATAATTGCTGTGACAAGCTGAATTTAATGTGAATCACACTTCTGGTCAGCTTTGCTCTTAGAAGCACAACCACGTCTTCAACACGCTGATGATTGATGGTGCCTCAACCTGGAAATCATTATGTACCAGACGGTTCAGCATCAGATGATCAGAGACTAAATTCAATTCCAACAGAAAACAGCTTTTGCTAATAACAAGGCTAACAAAGGACTCATAAACAGTTTTCTATCAATATATATCATCTCCAAAGTCTGTGCGAAGGCTACATTTAGCTTTTGATGCCAACGCTCTCCCCAGAGGCTTACCTCTATGCCTTAAGTTTTTCAAGGAATATTAGACAGTCCACTTAAACAAGGTGGCATTTAAATTCTCAATCTGTTGGAGAACAAAACTGTCTATCTTACCTTCACAGTTCTTGCCATCAAATGCTAGGGAGAAGCCAGCTGTGCATGAGCAGTGGTAGGAGCCTGGGGTGTTTTCACAGGTCTGGGCACACAGCCTGCCAGGATAGCGCCAGCACTCATTTACATCTGTCAGTGCAGGAGTGGGAGCTATTAGACAGCAGACAGATACCTCCGGGCCACTGAGGACTCAATGCCCGTTCTCATTCAGACACTCAGAAAACAATGCTGTTGGCTTATTTTAGATAACCCTACATATATCTATTTAACAATAAGCCATACATCTCACAGGGGTTTTTAAATTAAAATGTCACTGAAGTGGCAAAATTCAAACCTATAGAAGGGTTTCCAGTTAAACAATTGATGATGGTAGAAAACACGTGACCGCAATGTCATGTTACATGGTACATGGCATTCCAGTGAGAACTGACAGCTAGTAGCAGTGATAATACTAACCCAGACTACACAACCTTTTCTCTTACAGGTACTGAGAAAGTAACTGTGGGTGGGTCCCAAACCATCAACTGGCAGCACAGGTTAGGTTTAAGCACAGAAGCACCCTCACAGTAGCATCATCAGCATAAAATAACATGTTAGCATAGATGAAATTCCTGCTGCTCGCCTCACATTAAGGTTAAGAGCATAGAACAAAAGCCCCTCCTCACATTACAACAATGAGGTAAATGTATTCATCATATTACAATAGGGAGGTAAAATGAGCTGCAGGTTATAACTCCCTTTATGCTACAAAAAGCAAAGGACATATAAAAAAAACTACAAGTTGAGAATGAATTGGAATTGAGTCTCAGAGCCTGAGGGAAAAAGCTGCTCTGCAGTCTGATGAAAATTCTCTATCTCTTCCCAGAAGGCAGCAGGGTGAACAGGCTGTGGCTGGGTGGGTACTGTCCTTTAGTATCCTTTGGGCTCTGCGAAGGCACCGATATCACTGATGCTCAGGAGATGGGTACCAATGATCTTCTGAGCAGTTTTAATCCCCCGCTGCAGAGCCCTCCGGTCCTGGGCCGTGCACATCCCATGCCAGTTAGTGAAGTTTCCAGTCAGGATGCTTTCTGTTGCTCCTCTGTAAAAGCTGACAAGAACTTGGCGTGGGAATTTAGCTTAAGTTTCTTTAAGAAATCCATTTGTTTCTGAGCTTTCTTCACCAGCGTGGAGATGTGAGACGACCACGGCAGCTTCTCTGTGATGCTGATTCCCACGAACCTGAAGCTGTTCACCTGCTCCAACTCAGCTCCACTGATGTAGACAGGAGTTTATGTCTTTATCTCATTTTTCCTAAAATCAACCTACTGAGATGAACAGCTGGCTGTTGTAACTTTCCAGTTCGGGCGCAACAACATGACTTCATTAAAAGTGCGTCAGTCACACCACAGATGGTGGAAAGCATAGCAGAAAGCATGACACAAGTATGGCATTCATGTTTGTGTATTCATGTATTAACTAGAGGAACGCTACAGTCTGCTATTTTCAGTCTCTTCAGTGGAGCGGAAGCTTTAAGTCACATGCTTCACAACATCATGTTTATTTGCTATGTCTGTTTCCATTGCACTTTGTCACATTTTATTTTTATCAACATACCAGCTTTTCTACCTCAGCCAAGCATAAAACTATTTTACAATATTGCATTCAATATTTATTTTGCAATTATTTTTCAAATTTATGTTTTTTATGTGTAAATTGCAAATGTACATAAAAACAGGTGGATGGAAACACTTTGCGTTTGGGTCCTCTTTCCTGTTGCCTAGTGCCTTGAACTGTATAGTACTGCAGAAGTTACCTATGACAAGTCCAGCTGTGAAACGTGTAACCAGCATGTACTCTGACTGTGAAGAGTCTTTGTAGGACTTGCCCTCAGTGTGGGCCTTCCTGTCCTCTGCCAGTGCAGATCACTTTGTCCTCAGAAGTTAGAGGTGATCAATACGCTGTGCATGGTCTGTGATATTATTTGAAGACACCACATATTTCTTGGAGAATTCTGTGCTGGAGATGGGTTGGTCCAGCTGTACTGTGGGGTTAAGTTGGGATGTGAGGTCCAATGAGGTTTAGGTAGGAATGGGACATACCAAACATATTAAAATGTATTTAAAGTAAACACAAAATACAACCATTTAAAGTTGTAAGTCCCTCCCCTATTGCCAAAATAAAACACATCAGTCTCTCTCCAGTGCTTAGGATGTGCCTCACTCATCAATAGACAACAGTCCCTAAACTTGCAAGATTTTTTTCTTCTTCTGGGCAAGTTTTGGCTTCAAAAACTGATTGGACGAGTAAACCTCCAATCTGCCTGTCATCACCTGACACAGCGATACATACCGGTGCAGACTTTGCGGAGGGCGTCATACTGGTAGCCCGTCTGACAGTCACAGCGGTAGATGCCAGGGAGGTTGTGACAGATCTGGCCCACTCCACAGCGGTGCGTCCCCATCTGACACTCATCAATGTCTAGACAAACAGAGAGAAAGATAAAGTACCTCAGCAATGACCCACTCTGCACCTGACAACTCCTACTCACACCACTGGACTTGGTACAAACACACACTCAAAAATACATACACAGTCCTTTTTCGTGGTCATCACTTTGGCTTTAAATTTAACTCTTTAAACTTGGAAGACTACTGTGAACTGTGGTACATATAAAAACAGCAGTTTTTTAATCATTGATACATCATTGACGTCATTTATTGAGCAAAGCTGCTAAAGAAATCCTGGTTCACACTTTTCCCCATTTCTCTGTTTAGTGTTAAGTGAATATGTTTGTGTTTAGAACTGTTGGTCAGAGAAAATAAGCCAAATGAACATGTCACCTTGGGTCTGGGGAATTGTGATGGCATTTGTCCTAATTTTGTGACATTATATAGATTAAACAATTGATTGATCAATCTAAACTGGACTAAGGGCCCTATTTTAATGATCACAGCGCACGGCGTGAAGCACGTGGTGCAGTTACGTTTGGGGCAAAGGGTTGTACATAGTCTGTGAATTAGTCAGAGGTGTGTTTTGGGGGTACCATGTACAGTACACCAATCAGAGTGTGCTTGTACCATGACGCATTGCTATTATAATGGCGGATGAATGACATATTATTAAAACATCAATTGATTGATTGCATTGCAGACTCACAGCAGAGAGGAGGATACGGACAGAAGTGTGGACGTGATATAAAAACGGTCTCTGATCATGAAGCCTCTTGTTCCTGTCAGTGTCGGGACTGTGTGTTTCCTTTAAGGATTTACTTTCATGATTAGAGAGGCTGATGTCAGTCATTTTAAATGTTTCCATGTGCGCAATAAATTCACAGCAAATACTGTGGGACATTTATGCAGCAAAACAAAAAAACTGTAGTTATAGATGTGACATGACAGGACAGAGGAAACTCTCCAGAGGAAAGAGAATTCAACTTTTAACTTCTGAAATAATTTAGATGCTCTGATGGAGCTCAGGATTGATCGGGAGGACGGCTGCTTTACTCCAAACAGTTTCTCTGTATGAACCTGGACTGTGTGTGAGACCATTTGGATGTGCAGAAGAACACAGAACTTCAAGCATTCAAAATATGACATATTTAAAATGGTGATGGCGCAGTGGATAATACACATGCCTTTGGCGTGAGAGACCTGGGTTTGAATCCACTGTAAGACACCATTGTGTCCCTGAGCAAGACACTTGTTGCTCCAGAGGCGTGCGACCTCTGATATATATATATAGCAAATGTAAGTCACTTTGGATAAAAGCGTCAGCTAAAATGAATAAATGTAACATTTGAACATGTACACAGAACTTCACTGACATGCGTTTAACATAAACTCACAAGCTTCAAAACATAGAATCATCAGTGTTAAGATGTTTTGAGGTGGGTGAATATTGACATACTGATGTCTTCAGGGCACAACTGTTAACATGGAAAGTTTGGTACAGATGTGAACATGTACACTGAAGTTACTACAATTTCATGTTTCCACGCCACGGACATGTCCTTCAGTGAAAACTTTTTATGGCTAATTACACTGGACCCCAAAAGTTTTAAGTCCATCAAATTAAGACTGTAGAAGGAGTTTGATAAAGTACGAACCCTGTATATGGTGAGAAATAGCCTAAAATGCATTTGGAAAAATAATAATGAAGAATGAAGAAATGTTTCTCCTTTTATCACTGTGCATGCAGTGATACATTTCTTCTTTTTTTTTTGTTTTTTTTTTAATTATTTAATGTGCACGTATGTTTTTATCAAACATTATGTTGTTTATATTAAACATTACTATTTAAGTTCAATTATTGAAAACAATAAAACACACATTTAGGAACAATAGCAGAAAATAGTGGTATTTATAACTGTGGTTACATGAAGCAGAAAGCCAGTAACATATTTTTATCCTCAGTTTTAAAATATCAACATCCCAAATGTAACAAATTAACTACTTCTAGTTAAAACTGATATCTTTACAGTACGTGAGCGCGTGAAAACCAACAAAACAGTCAAAAGTTGCCGTTTAATGCTGTAATATGTACTTTGCATTGTTATTTATGTTCATATATTTGTTAATTATTATATTACTCTATTCATCACATATTTGAAAAAGTAGAATACACATACTAGCAGGTTACAGAAATCAGACTTAATGCAATCTGTCTTCACTGTTGCATGACGTCCACATACGTGGACAGTTGGCTTTTGGTGTTTAAAAGGTACATTTTACTCTAAATCTTAGTTTATAAAACATAAACATGTCATACTTTACTGTACGTACAATTTTTTTTACCTTGATTGACGTCCTTGTGAATTTTTTTTTACAGATATGCCTGATGCATTTAGGGTCATCAAGCACTGAATATTTGGAATACAAGAGAGTAACCACTGTTACAATGTTGCTATCAATCAAGTGACACTATCCTCAAATGGCTTGCAGAACATAACCATGATATATTGACCCAAAATGGAGTTAAAATAAATGTGGACACCATGCATGAAAGGGGTTATGGGGGAGGCCTGTGGCAAAATTTTGAGGTGTTCAAACTGTGGGATAGAGAGCAATTTAGAAAAGTTTTTTCTGCTCCACACTCACAGACCACAGCTCATTACACGACATGCAGATGGAGTCTCAAAACAGCTGTAACAGTCATTTTTGACTTAAATTGCTCTAAAACTTGAACACTATTACAACACAGATTACAGTCTTTTGTGCGTTTTAAAGTTTAATCAGATTCTTTAGCAGCACATACAGTAAATCAGAGCGGTTTTCAATGTTGGAGAAGTTTGAACCAAGGCAAGTCATTCCTTTCATTTTACTTTTCTCATTTAGATTTTCAAAAATGCATATAAAATCACTGAAATATGCTTGATACACCAAACTTAATAGCCCACAACTACTCAATTAGCTGCCCCAAGAATCCATTATGTCACCAATTTCATGGTTATATTATATATTTTGTCTGTCATGTTAGGTATTTGCTAATTTCTTATTTATTTATTTAAATTTGAACGATTGGTCTCCATAAGTGACCCTAACAGACTGATTCTGCCCTATAATGGCATTTTGTAATAACGCATTTGAGCACTTGTAGCCAAAAGAAATACCAATCCCAATGACTTCCTTTGTCCATGCTGTTGTGTTTAAGATGTAAAATCTCACCGACACACTTGGCTCCATCAGGGCTGGCATGGTAGCCGTGGCTGCACATTATGACCTTCTGCTGGCAAGTGTAGGAGCCCACTGTGTTGATACAGCTAAGGCCTGAGCTACACGGCTCACTCAGGCTGCTGCACTCATTTATGTCTGCAGAAACACAGAGAGAGAATCAAACCTCTAGACAGCTGAAATGAATGAATGATTGTTGTAAGGTTTAATCCTGATTGAATATCTACTTCCTCCCACTGATTTTAACACAGCATTTATGTAGGTGTGTATTTACTTGTTGGCAGTAATCATGTCTTCCTAATATATGGTTGATCCAATGCTCAGGGAGCAATGTTTACTTTTTGACTTTAAAGTAACTAAATGAGCATCATAAAGACAGCCAAGCTGACGTGTACCCATCAAACTCAAACAGTGATTGAACAGTAGGCGCATTAGTCACAGAATTTGTGAAATTGTGACAAGATGGGTTAGCCTGAAAAATCCTAATAAGCATTTCCAAGCCACAGAAAAACAAAAGATTTCCAAAACACTCGAGTTTACATTTTACATTCAGGGGAAGCCAAAGGAAGCCTTCCACCCTCAGTGACAGAGCTGTAATGTATGTGCAATCATCAGCAGGGAGTCATCAGGCTTGATCATTACTTTGCTCTGCGTGGCTGTATCAGGAGCATTCAGGGGTGAAAATCAGGCTTTTTAAGATAAGCTAAATGCCATTTGGTTAATCCATACCCAAATGTAAAAACGACAAGTTGTGGTTTCATAATTTTCTTGGCTGGGTGCAGAGACTTCTTGGAGTCTCTCCACTGGTTGCCTGATAATGTCACAGTGACAAGACACCAAGAAATTCAATTATATTTTGGGACATTTTACCTTTACTGGATCGCCAACAGCAAAGAGATGACAGGAAACAAGGGGAGATAGATAGGGCATAACATGCAACAAAGGTTCCTGGCCTGACACAAATTAGGAACGTTGTGGTTGATGGTTGGAACCTTAACCCTTAGATCACCAGGCCGTCCTGAGCTATCTCTCTAATCAAGGAAGGAATCTCTGTATGTATCTGTTTGTATTCTGATTATGTCAGGAACTGATCATCCAATCGACTTAAAAACTGGTGTGTTGCTGCGGACCCAGGGGAGCGCAGTGTTGCGTTTTGTGTTCCAATTTCAACAAGCGACATGTTCAATATTAATAAAAACAGCGGAGAACAGCGCTGAGTGAAGTTCTGCAGCAGCGACTACAGGGAGGCTAACGGGGGCACAGCGCACAGCCCTGCAACAGTGAGAGGGGGGTACGGTCGCGGTGCTTATATGCTCCGATGTGGGAGTGAATTGTTGAAATGGAGTTAACGTCATCATGCATGTTTAATATATGTTTGAAACAAATGTGTTGCGATTGATCCACATCCATTGAACTATGGATGCTTATTTTCATTTCCCAGCATGTCCAGGTAGAGGAAAGTCCTGCACTTCTCATTCAGGGGATTCACATTTCTTGAGGCTTTTTTAAGAGGTGAGTCAAACACACCACAGATTAAATTTCTTTCAAAACTTTTCAAAAGAAAAGCTCTCAATTCAACTCGACATAAAGTAATGCTGCAAAAAACTTTCTGGGGTGTATATTTTGCAGCCGCACTTGCTAAAGAGGAAGAGATTATGTGAGTAAGTGTTGCTGTCATAACTGAGATCTATATCAGCACCAGCCATTATCATGTGTCACTTTTATGCCCCCCTTCCCTCCAAACCTGCAACAACACCAACAACAACAATGTATCAAAAGTCTTGTTCATAGTGATGCACCTACAGAGATTTATCGCCTGAATCTGAACATCCCCTCAGCTTTGAATTGTTGGCCCACAACTTAACTGTTTTGTTTCACTGTCAACGCTCTCAGAGAGAACAAGGAGCACTGAGGCTCATCTGAAGATAAGATTTGCCACAACTCTATCTGCTGTTAATTTAGAGATCATGTGTTTCTATTAGCCATTAGAGAGCAGCACTGACAGTCTCTCACCAACACAGTTGCCATGGGAGTCCTGTGTGAAGCCGCTGATGCACTTGTGTTTGGGATTACACAGGAAAGAGCCCACTGTGTTCTCACACACAAAGCCCATACCACAGTTATGGGTTCGCATAACGCATTCATCAATGTCTGGAAGAAAGAAGAGAAACAAAAAGTCAGTGAGTCACCTTGACAAACCAAAAGAATCCACACTTCAATTGTGAAGAGTTTAAATCTGCTGTCAACTCTCTGAGCTTCAGCCTGAGCTCTCAGCTTGTTAACAGTACAGTAGGTGGCACTGTGGCTCAAGCACAGAATAAACATGTGCAGCATCCCAGAAAGTCAAACTTTCCCTCTGTCAGTGTTCAACTCCAGGAGAAATTCCCCACCCATAAAAATATCACTTGTTCTAAATCTGCAATTAACAGAAGTTGAACAAAACTTCTTAAATGACAGTTATTGAACCTCATGAGCAATGGATGCTGTTTTATAATGGAAGATTTGTTCTTTTGTGCAAGCCCGTTTCTCAGGAGCTCACATTATATTGGGTCCTCTGAGACTTGTCCCGTGGCACACAAGCGGAAGGTCTTAATTTGGGTTTCTCTCCTTTCTTTCGTGTAGTTAATTGGTTTTCCCCATGCTGGATGGTCAACTAAATGTTACCTTCATTATCTAGCCACATTAATTAGTACTCCCTGGTGCCAAGTGCTGATGACACAAGCCACAAAGCGCCAAAGTGCTTTACTGCCTATGCAATGTTGCCTCTCTGGGAGATTATCTTGTCACATACCAAACCTGGGCATCTGCTGAAACACAAACATCACCACTGGTGCCAAAAAACATTAGCACAAATCTTAATTGAGCCTTGCTGTTTGAGCTGCGCTTGAGTCTTGACCACACCCATACAGTTGCCACAGTATGGTAGGAATCAAAACGACTGTAAAAATTCAAATATCTCTCTGATTTCTACACTTTACTCTGAAGATTTATGTCAATGTTTCTGTCACAAATGTTGATTGTATTAATTTAAACAGGGACTGAGGGTGAAAATGAGCTGTCTAAGTATATCCTGTTCTTGTTAAAGAGCCTCTTTGAAAACAACTGTCTGCCATCAATAATGTCAGGACATTCCAAAACCCTCAGCACCTATTCATGATGTACTACACTGCAGTCCTGTTTTATTTGAAATTAGTAATTGCAATAGAGGGGTTGTGATGACAAACTTTAGGACCAGAAAAGCTCGTGTGTGCATGCATGAACATCTTTTACACAGTGTCTCAGTTTGAGCCAGGGGTGTTGGACTTGTGTGCTGCTGGTTGCTGGATCCTCTTTAAAATCCTGAGAAACTGGCAACACTGCAACACAAATACGAACCTTGGCCAAACATAAGTGGCAAGTTCTGTTATGAAATGGAAATACCTCACAGTATGAAGGCTGCAACTGCATTTGAATGGGTATTATCAGCTTGATGTATCGCAGCCAAATATCTAAAATTCACACCCATATTGGACTAATTCACAGCTTATTTATGTTCAGGGCCAACGTTCGGTTCCAATGAAGGATGAGCCCTTTATATATTGAGGTGAAAACCGGAGTTTGCATCTTGTCACAGACAAATTTACTTCTGCCTCTTTACTAACTATAACCTTAACCAACCAAGTGTTTAGTTTCATACCTTAACTATGGTATATTTGCCATAATCATAATATTTTCCTAACCTTAAGTTACAATGGACAGATATAGAAAGGAAGAATTGAGAAATAGTTTCACGTTTGAGTAAATACGTGAGATTAGCAAATCAAAAGTCACTTTCATGCCTGCACTGTAAATATGGAATTTAAAAACAGCAGCCAGTACTTGCAAGTCTTGTTAGCTTAGCCATAGCTAAACTACCAAGACTTGCAAGTACTTGTAATTGTCACAATAGTAACACTCACAAACTTACAGTCCTCTTGCATGCTCATGCATGGGTCACAAGCTTCTTTTCATTAAACGCGTCAACGAGAGAAAATTACAGGTTTAATCCATACAAAAAGCAAAGTGTAACAATGCATTTAACCGGAAGTAAATAGACAAGCAAAGAACAAAATTTTTACACTTGCCTTTTCGTATGGATTAAACCAAAGATATATAACTTCTTAATTAATGAACTTTAGATGTGCTGGTATATGGATTTTATTGCCTTCACGCAGAGCCAGGCTAGCTATTTCCCTTTGTTTCTAGTCTTTTTGCTAAGCTAAGCTAGCCAGCTGCTGGTTCTGGCTTCATATGCAGCAAACAGATATGAGAATGGATTCAATTTTCTTATCTAACTCTTGGCAAAAAAAGCAAATAATTGCATTTCCAAATATATTGTCACTGAAAATAATCCAGGCTTTTGTAGAATCTTCCAAAATTGACATTATTGTCTGGCGAGAGGGTTGTGCTTTTGCTTTCCTGTCCTTGTTGTCTTGTTGTCTGTTACCACTAAAAAGGAGTTAGAAATCCTGTACAGCCTATTGAAGAAGACATTATCAGCATTTCCACAGACTACTTTAGTGGCTCTGGAAATGACTGCTGGGTAAATTGGCTTAATGAAAAACTTCAGGAACAATGAACTCACCCTCGCAAACACTGTTCCTCAGCTGGTAGCCTGCAGGACAAGTTACCTGCAGCTCGCATACAAATGAACCCACTGTGTTCAAACAGCGCTCGCTGGGCCGACAACTATGGGTGTTGGTCAAGCACTCGTCCACATCTGCCGAACAAGAACAAGGAAGACTGTGTGTGAAACAACAGGGGAGGGAGATGGACACAGGGTGCATGACTATGAGTTGGAGGTGAAGCAGACGCACAGAGTTCATTTATGGACAGGACCAGTACGTAATTCTTTCTCTGCAGACTGGCCCTGACTGTCACCATGACAGGGCTCAGTGAGTGTGTAGCAGATGCACGTCAGCAAAAAAAAAAAAAAACGAAAGCGCTAACAAAGGAAGTCATTCTTACATCTAGGAGTTTGATGGATACCAGGAAATTACATCTTTTTCTTTTTACTTGCATGAAAATCGCTAACTGAGAAGCTGTCGTGAGTGACTGCTTTAACATGTTTGGGTAGGTATTTAAGTTGTACAGTGTTACCGCTTATTTGCTAACAGCTAGCCTGCAAACTGTTGTTAGCAATTAATGCTTGGTAGTTAATTAAGCAAGCTGAGGTAGGTGCAGCATAACCTACATGAGCAAGAAAGCATATATGAAGTTCAAAGTTGTTGCTGAAGTTGTATTGTCTGGCTCGAGGTGTTACCGTCAGCCAACGATAGTGATGCTGGTGATTACCACTTCATACAAAATCATTTGATTGGCAAAGAAACAATGGCATTCTCCCTGGTAGTACTTAAGATTTGTTCATAGTCCCATCAATCCTGCACCAAATACCCTCACATAATGTGTCCTGAAGTGCTGTTTGGTGGGCGATGACATCAACTTTGGACAGTGACTGCTTTGTTAGTCCCAAATCAAATTTAAAATATCAGATCTTGGCAAAAGCTAAGTGATATTTTTCTTGTTATGCTTGTTTGTGTGAAATACAATACACAGTTGCAAACATTTAAATCTTTACTCAGTAAACAGGCTCTGTTGATTTATGACACTGGTGGGCTCATGCCGAGACAGTAGATTGTCGCTCTGCTGTGGCTCATCTTTATCAAACTGCTGCATTCCCTTATCATGCATCACAGTGCGTGGCCGATTATCTGGATGTGCTGATAGGGTTGGACTGGGATTTTTGTGTGTGCATCTGTGCATTTGTGTGCAAGCCGAAGTGTGGCTGTCATCCAGATTGGAAGATCACCCCCAAATATGGCTCATTCCACAGGGAACCTGACGAAAAGGTCGTGTACAAATCTGCATGAAGGAGCCAAGGATGAAAAACAAAAGGCAGGAACAAGAGGGGAACATATTCTCCTGTGTTGCCTGTGTATCTGTTGGCAGTCCCTTGCTGAAATGTCTTTCTCGACTTTCAAAGCTTTTGCTACTGGGGATTTGACTGAACTGTGTGCCTTACAACACCTTTCCACAGGGAGGACGAGGAAAAACCTGTACCTGGTGTGTGAGTAACATCCTGCAGCTCTCTTCCTGTAAGGTTATCCACCTTAGAAAACTACCCAAGCATCATCTCTCACAGCACAGAACGTATTTTATTGTATTATATGAAGGCTCTGTGGAGCTGCAGCAACAACATTCATCTTACTCACTAAAATTAACAGTTTCCCCTTTTGACATTGTGTAATGCTCTGGGGAGTTTACAGGATCCATGCTGTACAGACAGTGCAGTGCTGACATACTGTTGTTTTGGGACCCGCTTTCGCAAATGTCCCATTTGTTCCCCAACTGAAAGACATCTGTTGTCTTCGTTGTAGGGAGGATATTTCCAGGGACAAATCACACCAAGCTCACATCAAGTCCACCTCGTCCTCTGGGCCCTGCTCTCTGTGAAACCTAGGGATGGACGGGACTGTTTCCAATGTTTGCGTATTGCCAGTGGTGCAGAAAGTCGCCTTCTCCTTCCTCTCTGGTGGCCAGCGTTATTTCCAGTGCGTCATTCTAAGAGGGAAAAAATAAAAATAAAAGGAAATGTGCCTCTTGCCTACCTTCCCTGACTGATCCCCAGGGACAGCCACATTACACAGTTGTGAGGAGTGAAGTGATCCAGTATAAGGTGAAAATACAGAGAGGGGAGATAGCAGTTTAAGAAGAATTCCATCAAGAGAACAGAGGGGGCTGTGCACAGGGGGGGTGTCTGACAAGCAGCACCCCCTCCCATTGTGATTGCTCATCACACTGGACCCAGCAGACAATTTTTGAAAAGTTCAAGCTGAGGTAGATGAAGTCATTCTTGGCCTAGTTGCAGATTTGGTTTGAGCAGGGCTGGGACAAATAATCGGCCCTGGCATTTTATGCCCGGGTGGCCCACCAAAATCAGTTGGACACCCGTCACCAACACACCATCCTTTCATTTAAGGGCTCCCCCCCATGGCCGCTGTCCATGCTTTATGGGCCTGTCGTTCGCCCAACAGTTATATAAATACATAATACAAATACATAATTTACGTTACACCAGTCCCAAAGGCACGCGGCCCCCCGGGCACCTGTGGGCTAGGGTGACCAGACGTCCCCGGAAAACGGGGACGTCTGGTCACCCTAGCCCACAGTCAGGAGCTGTACCCTGAAATGTTCCCGTTTTTAACTAAGGTGTTAACAGACCTGAAATCAGATTTTACTTGCTGAGAAAGACTGAACAGCAGAGCATAGAGGTGTCATGCCGAAAAGTGATCCCTGTCCTTGAGAGTCAACACACAAAATGCCACATGTGACAGTGCCAAATCTGTACCACCAGCAAGATCCGTTGCACAAAAGTGGTCCTGTCTTCCAAAGAAGGTTACCACAAATGTGCCTGTTCATAATTACTCGTGTGTTGTTGTCTGTTCTCATCTAAGGGCGTCAAATTCTGACACTTTCAGAAAGGCTGACAAAGCGTTATTTAGTGCAAAAGGTACCCTTCAGCGTCCATAAGAGACGCCTCCGGGTGTGTCTGAAGGAGACCGGAAGCGCTACGTTAGTATAAAGGCTTTGACAGCTTCCCAAAGCACCTTACTCTACCACTAACCATCACAGGGGTGCCTAAACCTAAGTCAGCGATTGTATGCATGTCGACCGGCTAACCGTACAGCTAGCGTTGTAGTACTCGAGACCGGTCTTATTAAACTCATTAAACTTATTGCTTCAAATGCAACCAATAACCCTAATTAAACATGTGTTGTTACCATTAACGACACCCCTCCCTGCGATGCTTACGTTGATTTCAGCTTTTAGTGTTTGTATGTGGTTGTTTTAATGGGAAAGTGGATCTTTCAGATCTGACTACAACACTACGTACAGCTGTGCACATTGGCCGTGCTAGCGGCTAAGCAGCCATGGTAACAGATGTTTTGCCACTCAGTACAGCTGGGGGAGGGGTAGGGGGTGGATTGGACGTGAAGTAAACGCAATTTCAGGCTAGTAATGCCCATTTCTGGGTTAAGCCTTGTCCATCCCAAGCAGAGATGGGAAAAAATTACTTGAGTAGTGAATAACTTAGTGAGTAAGTTCTTTTAATTTACGTGGATGTGCCTGGAATTATTTCAGATGGTCTTTCCCTCTGATCCCCTGTACAGATACAGATAATTTAATTGGTTGAACAGATATAGATAATGGAACACTCGCTCACTCCCTACTAGGTGCCAGGTATTTACCAGGAAGAAGAAGGAATGGAATAAAGGATAATATCTCTGGTTTTGCTGCGTCGATTTGTATCCTTTCAAAAAAGAAGTGCAATGGTAAATCTGTGCAGTACTCTTTTAGAGATTCGCCTTCAAACCAGCTGCTTCATTTATTGCCTGTACTTCAAGTTTCCTCAGGTAATTCATAGCATGACTCCACCCACCTCCAACCTGTAACAAAATCCAATCAGCCAGAATAACAAAACCACTTGTGTGGGTTATTAATAATTACATGACTAAAGGAACATAACGTAAAATATGTCCCAACCAGTTAACTGAAGTTTACCAGGGTCTCTGAAGTAAGCTGCAGGTAACAGGATCTCATGGCAGGCTGCATCAGCATGTATTAATCACGTACATACACGCACACTCAAACCCAACTCCTATCTATCTCCTTTAAACATCATAGGTGTCAGTGGTTCACAGTGTCTTCACAGTGTGTATGATATATTTACAACACGTACTCAATAGTTTACTACTTTACCGCTGTTAAAACCTCAAATACCCACCGCTTGTAGTGCTATTTGCTTTGTTTCATGCCCACCCACGTCTTCACATGTGGGAACGCTTTCAGAGCGAAGGTCTTTACTGCTCACTGAATGGAGGAACAGAAGAGGAAACACTAATTCTTACGTAGTGTTTATGCATCCAGAGGTATTATCCCATCTGCTGACTGACAGACAGATTAAATAAACTCAGCCGTGACAGTCACAGTCACAACTGCAAGGAAATACCTTTCTAACAGTGGCCTTCAGTGTTTAAGCAAAGTCTTTTCATGTTAATATCACTCACTTCCTTCCTGTTCATTCCAACATCTTGCACACTCAAACGTACATGTGATGTAAGAAGAGATTTGCTCAAAATACACTTACTGAGCTGCGGTGTATAGAACTCTGGAGGTGGTCCATATTTCAATGTTTAATCCAAAGGAATATTGCTGCCAAGTTTTTGGCACTGTTGCAAATGCATGGATCAATTTACTACTGCATCAAATATGTTACTATACGGCCATCCATGGAAAATGGTTTGTGGAGTGGTAACAATTACATTCTCTTCTGGGGAGAGGTTTAATGTCGATGGTCTATCTATGTGATGACCTTTTATACAGTACCACAGTTTCCAACTTGTATGCAGATGCTTTTCTTGTCATTTTACATAGAATCTCAACTCCAGCACCTCAAACACACCGTTATTTAGTGAGCAGTGATCTCTATATATCGAACTTTTAAAAATTTGCCAGCAATGTAGGGGAAAAAGGGGTTTTATCAATCACTACTTCACATCAATGAGAAAAAGCTTAAAACTAGTAACATCTCTCAGTATGATGAAACAAAATTCAACAACAGTACAAACTATGGCTTCCATAAAGTTGAATTAACACCTCTCTGAAACAGCTTGAACAAATTCGGACCATTACCCCTTCATGATGGTAGGATTTACTGCAGGGCTGTTGTATTATACTGCCTTGGGTTTAGCTAGGTGGACCTAATAAACTGCCAACTGAGTGTATTATCACCTTATAAAGTTGTAAAAGATGCCTATTCACACATCCAGCATACACAGAGCAACATTACATTTGGTGTACAGAAGGTCTGTAAGAGCTTTTTGTCTGAAAACCAAAACATCAAGCTAAAACAGGTGAAGGAGCTTTGGGTGATAATTCTGTGATGGTTTGTCACTGTGAGCAACCCCTTTCACATTACACAAACCACATAACCCATTTTATTAAAATATTGAGTAGTGTAGCTTTAATCTACAAAGTTTCTAGAAACTAACCAAACTATATAATAGGAAATGCTATAAATGGTGAAGTAGAAATTACTATTCCTACGAATCCCGCGTAAAGACAAAAACCAAACCAACAATTAACCGATTCTAAAAACTATTGTCTGTGTATAGAGCTACAGCGCTGTCCAAAAATTAGCAACATTTTTTTAAAATATATTTTAAAACTAGCCTGAGAGCTACAGACAGGACACAAGATGTGATACAAAAATGTGTTACCATGTGTTTCTTCACACATTTGCAAGCTCTGAGAGCAAGCGCTTGATTCACCTGTCAGAGGTGCCGTAAGTTATCACCCAGAGCTATATGAAACGAAGGTAGCTAAGTACACAGATGCTAAGTGCAGTGTTTGTTATTGCAGCTATAGCTGCCACAGGGTAATTGGCTAGGGCTGACTTATGCTCCAGGCAATGGTCTCCACCACCAGGAAGTGGGAGCCCAATCAGTCGATGCATTGTTTACTATCACAAGACCTGCATTTTCCTCCTTCATGAGTGACTGCATCCAATTAAAAAGTGTCCCGATCTCTGGACAAACTGCTCCATTGCACTTTTGTTCTGTTGTCATGGCTGGATGTGTTTGTTTTTCTTCATTTATACAACAGTGAGTGGTATTGTTGATGGTGCTGGGTTGTTTGTTACCTTGTGCAAACCCTGCTTGAGGGAGACAGCTTAAGGGATACATACAAGTATTGTGAATCGCTCCAATTACTGCCAACGGTACCGCGACAAGAAGGAGTGGCAGCCCATACCTTCACACATGCGTCCATCTGTCATCAGCGAGAACCCTGGGAAGCAGGAGCAGTGAGCCTGGCCTGTCACCACCGTGCACTGCTGACTGCAAGGACCATTTCCTGCAAGAAACAAAAATGCGAGCAGCATGATCATAATCATCTCTGCATTCCACACAGCTATGCCTCCAGGGCAGCCATTCACTCATAATGTCTTAAACTTCTCATCCTTGTGCAATTTCTCTGTTGTCCCGGTAATTCCTTGCCCTGTTGTCTTGCTCCCCGATGGACCCTGCCTTCACAGCCTCGCACTGATCATCACTCCCTGCAGGAATCGCATTCAATACAGCAGAATCAATTCTTTCTATTTAACAGCTCAATAATCCTGTCACAAAGAGTCATGGACAGGAACTGTTTTCCCACAGTTTCTCACCAACACATTCCCCACTAAAGCTCTGCAGTGGTGAAGTGTCGGAAGGCCGCTCAATACACATTGATCAGAATATTCTTATAACTAACAATCAGAGGCAGTTTGAAGGAGCAGGGTTTTTGTTGCAGCCTGGAGTAGAGACTCTAGTGGTTCAAGGGTTTGCACTGCTGATCTCCTCCTGACTTGACCAAAATTCAGCTGCAGCAGTGTAAACACAGCAGATCAACCGTGACTGAACAGTTTATCAGTGAAAGTGCATGCAGCGAGGCAACTGTGCCTTTTTTTCCTTCTGTTCATAAGAGAGTTTCAGGGCAGTCAGACGGCACTTGGATACATCATGTCAGCCCTTCTCAGCCTGGCCTACCTGTTTTGTTCCAATAAAAGCAGAGCTGATTTGTTGAGCAGATGTATCCTGCCTGCTGGACTAACATGCAGTAAGAATCTGGAGACACAGCATACCGCCTTATATGAAACACTCACTAAAGCCCCCAACACTCTCATCACCCTTTAAAAGCTAACCCACAACTCACAGCAGGAAGTGAATATCAGAGCCCCAAATCAATAAAATCACCTACAAATCATGTTTCATCTTCCTTTAGGAAAACCCAGATCTCTGCTCCTGGCTACCGTCATACAGTCGGTAATGCCGTTTTGGTAAACCACCTGAAAGCACCACAAGTCACCTATTACTTTGAATGATGAATGATTCCGAAGTTCGCTCATTCTCATATTTTACAATTTATAGTTATGTATACTCCAAGAGGGACTGGCTGTCTCAGACACGTTTAAGAGATGTTTCTGGCCCAGCATACCTTATGTGAAAATACAGCACCAGGTGAGATCATTAAGCCAGCCAAGTAAGTTGTGAAATTTTCAAATAATGAGTTCAAAGTGCATTTCTGAGAACAATACATTAAATCAGCAGTGAGGGGAAACTTTAGTACAGAAGGCACCGCCATACAGGCAGTTTTTTATATGCAATTTAAAAAATGCTGCATTATTAGAATTATTAACAAACTATGTTGTTAATAGTTACCATTTTCTTTACAAACATTATTGATGCAAATAAACCTTCAAAATGCATTACCCCATGAAGAACAATCAATCTTTTTATGTGGATTGTTTCTAACGATTCGGTCACAGCTGCGGCTGTGACTTCACTCTTCTCTGTGTATTTCCCTGTCCCCTCCTCCCTTTGTGGTCCAGTGACGCTCAGCCAACTTATCTCCAGTGAACCACTAGTGTGTTTTTGTGATGTTTTCTTCATGTCTTTTCCTAACATGTGTTTTTCCTGTGCTTCAGGACTCCAGTGCCAGTGTCCTTTTGTTCACCATTCACCACTCACTGCCTCAATTAAACCCCAGCCCTGCTGCACCTTCTGCAGCCCGCCTGCCTTCATCAGCCCTGCCAGCTCATTCATCTACTATCGCTTGTTCATTAAAGACTTTTTATCTATAGAACTTCTGCTGTGTTCTGAGTCCGCTTCTGGGTCTGCCACAACAAAACGTAACAGATTTACTCTGCTACTTCTATGATGCAAAAGTCAGGGCGAACACTTTTTGGAAACTATTTCACCTTCATTTTGCACATTAAAGATGATTCCAGGGAAGTCTTATTCAGCTGACATTTATTATGAAATACAGCAATTCTTTCTCAGTGCAGGGGCCAGAGTAACTGTGCGCTCATTTCAACTCGAGCATGATGGTTGCATGACGCTGTGTCGCGACAGCGTATCAGCGTTGAGCTCAGATTTATTTGCTATTATTAAATTAACTTTTTACTTTATTTTTTGGGATTAAAACATTGATTTATCTTTACTCCCGTTTCTTAGCAGTGAGCCACGGTGTTTCGGGTTTCCATTGTTGTTGTTAGCGTCAATGAGCTCTGTTGCACTTCTACTTCATATTTATATGAAAAACAGACAAAACCGGACATTGCTTGGAGGAAAGTAAGTGAGACAGTTGAACTACCTGGTAAGTTCAGAACACAAGTGTTAATTGATTGAAGCTATGGTTGTAATTTACTGTGAAGAAGTTAGCATAGCACAGGCCTTATTGATCCGAACTCCATTCAGAAAACAAACATTTTAAAAGTTGTTGTCTTGCTGACAGACCTGACAAAGCATGAATTCATATGTTTAACAAAACGGCATCATATTGTAGTTATTTCAGCATAATTTTGATCCATTTATTGCAATTAAATCACAGCAAAATGTTTACTTTGGTTTCATTCCTCTGCTGTACCGTGTAGAACAATCAGCAGCAGTCCAGCAATAAAACCCATGCGAGGAAAGCAACGCGAGGATTAAATTTGCGCTGAGGCTGAATGCACAGTGAGATGGCTTTCTCTAATGATCAAGGTAAAATGAAGACTATGACAGAAATAATGTTCAATAATGTTCTAAAACCTCACGGTGAAAGCTTCATATAATTTTTTATGTTATGCCGCTGCATTCAATACTAGGTGCACATCTAAACTCTATGATTGGATGTCAGTTTATTGCTACAGTGTGTAAATACAGCATTATACACAAACCTTTATCTGGAGAAACTTTGGAGACAAAAATCTCAGTGGTTTAGGGTACAGAGCCGAATCACTTCAGTTTGCTACTTGGCACAAAACGGTAAAAAGAATGTTAAAATATAACAAGCTCTTGGCACTTAACAGATGGCCACAGTGCTTTTTTAGTTAGCCATTGGGCTTTTATTCAAATATTAGCTACTTGTCAATTGACAATTCTGTTAACTCAAGCAGTGACTCTTTTTTTTACTGATGTGTATCAGTGAATATAATCTTGGTCCTGCTAACGTGAATAAATAAGATCAACTTATAATACTGACTGCGGTTGGAGCTAGTTCCGTGCGACATTGCCACTACGCCATACGCACGCAATGTAAAAACCTGCACAAGGATAAGAAGTGCCAAACCCTGAGTAAAATTTCATATTTCAACAAATATCACCAAGATTAATGGATATTAGCTTTCAGAAGCAGTGGAAATTCTACATAATTGTTTAGTCAAAATCGGACAGAGTTCACAAACTTTTGCAGTGATTCTTTTATAAATAATGACTTGAATATTTAAAAAATTAACTCTTGCCATTCTTGAGAAATTTGTAACTATAGCTAAGTAGTTAAGTGTATGTTTCACTAGCAAGGACCACACAATCGACAGGTATGATTAAATGATTTATTGATGATCGAAACAGAAGATGTACGAAGCTTGCAGTTGCCGAAGAGACATTCGAAAGCATTGTGGGGAAGCTACGATAGGGAAATCCGCCGTAGCACCCGGGCACGACGGACCCCCTTATAACCCTATGAAGAAGAAGAAGATCAGGAGGCAGGACAGAGAAAGGGGTGGGTGGTGGGGGGGTGCAGGATACGAGAGCGAAGGGGAGGAGTTAGGACGTGTGGGTATTTATGGAAATGCTGGCGATGACGTGGTTGATGTGTGGTCCCGCTCCTGAAACTCTGCTAATTAGCACCACTTGTGAAAGTATCATATTAGTTGGGAAAGAGGCTACTCATGAAGTAATTAATTGAACTACATATAGTCGGTATGGTTTATTTCAGACAAGATGGCCTTTCTCATCACTGACTGACTGTGGTACGTGACCTTCACCACCGCAGAGGAGCAAAACAAATAAGAAAAAGCACTGAACTGTACTGAACAAAGCCTTAAGGCATGTAAACACCAGGGGCCTCTTTCAAATAGTAAAAACTTAATTATGATGCTTTAGGTCAGACAGGGACAGTTCAAGGGTATAATTATACTGGAAATGTTATGTATCACACAAAATGGCAACAGCATAGCCAGCACACCCATCATCATGCAGCACTGAAATTATACGTTTTCTTCTCTTTCTGCCTTTAGGAGTCTGTAAAAACCTGTGCCTGAATCTTTCTTAATATAAAATATGATCGAACATGTGTTTTTAATATCAGTGCCCGGATACTGAAATTGTTTATCATTCGGGGGCCGTGACTGTGACGAGTCCTGCGCACAGTGATGTTACACGCATTGGAGTGTAATGTTGCCATTACCTGCACAAGGACTGGGGCGGGCAGGGCTGGTGGTGGTCGTACTGGTTGTAGTGATGGTATTAGTAGCTTCTGTTGGGTCCAGAGCAGGACTGTCCTCTCTGACTCTGTTGTCCTCATCAGGACTCACTGCAGAACAGAAAGAACATGTCAGTGTAGCTCTCCAGCTAATGTTTATACTTTAAAATCAATTGAACGTACTGCAAAATGAATGAAAGTATTTTGACTCACATGTTCCTGATATATGAAACCAATTTAATAAAAGAAGCATCCCGCATAATATCTATTTGCCTAATGACAAGACATCATTTTACCCATGCTGGGTATTTTAGTCATTAAACTCTTTAATAGAGCAGAGAGAGTTCTGCAAATGCATTATCTTTCATTTGAGGTTGTGTGGAATTTTGATGAGCCTGTTTAAATGACACTTAGTGCCATAAGTATGATGATGAAATCTGTTGTTGGTTTAACCACAGCATAATCATAGTAAAATGACCATAAATACACATATAATAAAAATTAAGATTCCTGTATTTAAGCTTTTAATGGAAGTAAAATACTGAAGTTTTATTTTCCAGCAATTCCCTCATCCCTCATCAGTGAATTCCATTCATCTTAGTTAAACCGGAGGAACACAAGGTCAAATAGGGAACAATAATGCACAGCATTTCAAAAAATGTGAAGGAGACTACTTATATACAACACAGACACAACTCGAACACACCAAACTATGTGATAAGAACTATTTTTCATTATGTGGTTCAGCATCATAGCTAGGACATCGGTAGTTTAGCAACATATTCATGGCAACAGCCTTTTAGTGAGTTTCATTTGGACTGACAAGAATCAATGCTGAATTTATTTAAAAAATGTATGTCACAATACTATGTGAGGTAGTTTATATGCACATAATTTTGAGTTCTAAATGAAAAGTCACTATTGAGTCACTATCATTCAAATATATCATGTAAAGTCTTTATTGTAAAATCAATGATTAGGATACAAACAAGTTAAATAATGACTCGTAGCAAGCCAACCTCAGTCCAAAATATGACATTTTACCTTCAACTGCATTCATACAACTTCTTGTTATGTAGTCTACTATTCAGATTTTGTCAGATTTAAGGATCTCTTCTATATAAGTTACTTTCAGATGATTTAATATGTTGGTCTATCACCCAGAAAAAGTAGTCAACCAGCTCTGTTTAAAATCTGTCTGTGATCAGATAATGCAGAGGGCACAGCTTAATGCTGCTGTAGCAAAAAGACAACAAACATAATTTTTCATCAAGAATTCCTATTTCTATCTACTGTGGCATACAAACAAATAAAAACTCATAAACATAAATTTTAATCCCACAACAGATTAGCTTGTTAGCAGTTCTGTTAGCCCTTACATTACAGGTCTGAAAAGGCCAGATGGTTTATAGACGGTTTTTATTCAGCCTGTAAAAACAGTTATATCATGTTTTCTGAAACTCCTAAAGAGCAGTGTCGAGTTTGACAAAAATAACAAATTATATTCAGATTTTCAGATTGTGAGACTTGTGAGACTTCCAATTTTTAGGAGAAAGATTGTATTACAAATTGAGAGCATGAAGTTTGAAACATGCGGACATTTACCAGGCAAGGAGGCTTTAATGAAAGGCGCCATCAACTTGCACTTTGGGAAATCAAATCATATCAAGTTTATTGTCACATTGTCACAATTATACACAATACAACCTCAAGTTTAATTCTGTCTCTGCATTTAACCCATCCAAAGTATTATGATGTACAGCGCCCAGGGATCCGGTTTAAACTCCAGGAACCCACAGGAAAATTTAACATGTGTTTTTGATGGTGGGGGAAACTGGAGCACCCACAGGAAACCCACACTAACACAGGGAGAACTTGGGTGTCGTGGCTGTGGCCGTGCCCCCGCAGATTCCCCAGTGTTTCTTGTGTACCCCACTTGCTTGTTTTTCCAGTGCTCCCGTCTGGCTGTCCCTGTCTGTGTCTGTGTGTTGCCGTGGGTGTGGTTTTCATTTCCTCTCTCTCAGGCCTCTTTTGTGTAGTGACCATGAGAACTATTCTTTGTGTTCATTACAAGTTGATTACTAACTGTCTGTTCTGTCTGCTATCCCCACACCCTTGCCTCCATTCCTTCCCAGCCACACCCCCATCACCCATCGGTCCTCGGCCCCTGCCAGCCATCATTTCCTCTCCACTTTCCATTCCCCAGTACCACATCACTCCAGTTCTAGCCACTTTACACTGGCTCCCAGAATGTTTGAGAATAGATTTTAAGGTATTACTGACTACTTTAAAGGCTCTTCATGACCTCGCTCCCTGCTCTCTCTCTCTCTTACCTTACATGTCGGTCTGTACTTTTAGATCCTCAGGCAGAGGTCTTTTGCCTGTTTCAGAGGCCTGGCTGATAAGAAAATGGGGAAAGTGTGTTTGCTGTCAGGGCCCCGAGGCTCTGTAACGATCTGCCCAAGGAAATCAGGTTCAGGCTATGTCAGTGATCTCCACTTCTATACACATACAGTACTTTCATCTTGAAGTGTCTTTTATTTCCTTTTTTTTTTTTTAAATGTCCTTGTTCTTGCCTTTTCTGACATGGCATTGTTTTTTATACACCAAAATGTTTTAATCTGTTTTCTTATATATTAATAATAATTGTATGATTTGTTTTATTTCATTATTTTTGTGATGTGGCTTTTGAAAAGTGCTCTATAAATACAGATTATTATTATTACTACCTTAAAATAAACCTTTATACCTTCATCTCACCATTGTGGCTGTGTACTGCACTTGGGTCCACCAACACAACAATAAAAACAGTGAAGATAATTACTGCTCGCTGCCATGTTTTTGTTGGCATGAATGATGAGCTTGTGCAGATGGTGAAAACCATAATTTGGTGGAGCCATGCCATAGAAACATCTTTAACATTGGAGTGAGCCAGGCTTCTTCCCTGGGCTTCTCAAGCTTGGAGTATGCTTTCCTGCTATATTCTGAACCAAATTCTGAAATTTACCACCAAAACCCAGAGAGTTCATGTGTGAATGAACATGCAGAGGTGAGCTGCAGTACCTGGTGCACAGGACTGTCCGTCCTGCTGCAGGACGTAACCCTGGTGGCAGCCACAGCGGTAGGAGCCCCAGATGTTGGTACATGTGTGCTGGCACAGTTGGCTCGGGTAGAGCTGACACTCATCCACATCCTCCTGCTCCTCCACCGCGTTGGAAGCTTCATCTGTGGCACTGATGGAGAAGGCCTCTTTGGGGAACTTGCTGTCTGATACTAGAAAGGGTGAGAGAAAAATGGAAACTGACTTGAAGACACAAAACAACATCTGCTCCTACTTTGAATTTATATTCTGAGCGTTTAAGTAATGCTCTTATCCAGAGCCTCCATTCTTAAAATACTATCATTACAAGGCACCACCAATTCCACATGCAAATGTCAGGGCCTTAGTCGTGCATTTATAGAACTCTTACAACCACAGGACACTAATGTGAGAGTGAAGTAAAGAAATGCACAAAATGCGAAGCGTTTCTAGAGCAATTAGACCGAGTCAAGAGGGAATGTTTTTAAGCCCTACTAGCTATCACAGTTGTTCACTTACAAGATGACAAACTTATTTGTCACCGGATTGTACAATGAAATGCATGTTATAGTTCCTTTTATGTTACTCATAAAAATACTCTCTCTCTCTCTCTCTCTCTCTCTCTCTCTCTCTCTCTCTCTATATATATATATATATATATATACAATTAAAGTAATGGTGAATAGGTGGTGGTGATGGTGCAGTGGATAAGACACATGCCTTTGGTGTGAGAGACCCAGGTTCAATCCCCCACTGGGACCCATCCATCCCTGATCAAGACACTTAACCCCTAGTTGCTCCAGAGGCGTGCGACCTCTGACATGTATAGCAATTGTAAGTCCCTTTGGATAAAAGCGTCAGCTAAAATGCGTAAATGTAATGAATAATAAGTCATAAAAATAACAAAGTGTGCTGAGGATGAAATAAGGAGTTTCACAGCCTGAGGTGGTGCTACAGGGTGCCCAGGCTGGGTGGGTACGGTTGATTAACGTAATGTAACGCAAATGGTGGACAGTCAGAGGTGTGATCAGAGAGACCTGTGATCTCTGAGACCAGTGCTGAATGACTGGTCACGCTACTAAAATTTCACACGCTCATCAGTATAACTGTGACTACTGATTTTCAGTGGCACACTGTGCAGCAACACTCATCGCTGTTTTGGCTCCCTGTGTGTCTTGTCTGTGCAAAGCAAGTGAGCAAATGAGAGAGCACGAGCAGCAGAGCGGGGTGAAAGTGACGGTGAAAGTTAGTGGAAAATATTGTTAAAATAAAGTTACTTCGTAAGTTGTCAGTCTGGCAGTAAATGTGCAGTCTAGGCCACAGTGTGTCCATTAAGTCTGTTGTTTCTGCAACTGCTGGAAACAACAGAAAACGGTTAGCTCTAGCTAACATCTCTCATTTAAAGCACGTTGATTTTTTGGGGGCTGCAATGCAACGTTAGCTAAATTATTACTGAGTAATGTTAATTAGTTGCGTGTCATTATTACCTAACTTGTCGAGGAATGAGAACATCAGGTTCAAGCTAAACTGGTCCTGCACACATACTGTACATCCTGATAGTTTCAATATATTTCAGTTTCCAGAGGAGGCTGACAACTGGTTGTTAAAGGAAGGACACTGGTGACCAGGAGGAGCTGAGGCTAGTAAAGTAAATTAGGGATGTAAACTAGTCCTTTTAAGCAATTATAATGTGCAAATTAAATGCTTAGTAATTGTGCAGAAATCACATAGAAAAAAAGACGCATCAAGATGGATCGCCACCCTCTGAACTGTAATCAAATCAAATCGTGAGGTGCCAAGAGATTCACACCCCTACTGCCCAACCAGTATTCCCATTACTTGTAAATGTTCTTTAAAAGGTTTTGTGGAGCGGTTACCATGATGTCTCCAATTGTCCACTGTATCTGTCATTCATCTGTGACAACATCTGAGGCTCTTCTTGCATGATGTTTAGGCTATGGTTGGCAACAGGTCTTCTCTTAAGTGATCTGTCACCACCCCGAGAATGAGTTTCCTTGATGTAGCCTAATTAATTTGTGTTGTTTTTGCTAAACTACAAAGTGTTCAAAATTCATACAGATTGTTCGTAAAGTGAAGAAACATAAATGAAAGTTTTTTTTCCTGCGCAAAATGTGCGTCACTTCACTTTAAGCAAACAATACGTTATTAGTTCTTAATTAGTTCATGTGGTAGGCTATTATTTCCACCTGCTTTTAACACTTTACTTAAAACAAACAAAGACATGCTATAACATTATAATATTATTAGTTTAATATTTGATTTGATTACATTAATGTTTAAGTTGAGATTTACAAGAAATATTTTATTGCTGCTGTGTAAAGGGAATACTGCTGGTAAAAAGCACCTTATTTGTTTAAAGTGTTTGCAAACCACATGTTATTGCACTTTTGTGTACATAGTAGTACATAAAAGTGGGCAATACACTACTTTAGAATTCATTATTCAATTTTGTGCGTAACAATGCGATTAATCGCGAATAAAAATTTTAATCATTGCTCAGCACTAGTAAATATATGCATCATGCAAGTCCTTATAGCAATGACCTTCATGTTAGTGTTACCACTAATCGCTAAGAGGGACACATAAGAGGCTTTGTATGTCTGGACAGAAGACAGGTTCTATAACTGTGTTATACTTGCTATAAGCTTCATGTGGTGAATTTTCTGTTAAGAAGATTCCAAGGAATATTTAAAGACCGTTGTTTTTTTTCCGTACTATGCATGTTGACTTTGATCGGTGCCAGCCCGCTGTCCTGCTATTTCTGTGTGAAAATATACATCAGTATTTTTATCAACACAGCTGAATGTAAAGTTCACTAACAGTTCCTGTCAGATAAAGTTGTAGCCTAGCATCGGGTCTCAGCAGATGGCAAATCAAATACTGCCATCTGCTGGTTCCCTAGTAAATCACATTAAGCCTGTGGCAAAGAACCTTGGTGTTTGGTTTGATCTTAATTGTGTCAGCAGCACACCACAAAGCTTGTTCAATCATGTTTTTATCAACTTAGAAATATAGCTAAAATTCAATCTATGTTAACTTTTAAGGACACCGAGACCATTTTACACGCCTTCATCTCATCACGCCTGGATTATTGCAACAGCCTTTTCACCTGTTTAACCCAAAAATCTATTGATCGACTCCAGACTGTCCAGAACTCAGCTGCCAGGCTTTTAACCAGAACAAAGAAATATGACCACATTACTCCTATTTTAGCTTCATTACACTGGCTCCCAGTATGTTTTAGAATTGACTTTAAAATTCTATTGATCACTTTTAAAGCTCTTCATGGCCTCTCGCCTTGTTATATTTCTGACCTTTTAGTCCCATACGCACCAGCACGTACCTTGAGATCCTCGGGCAGAAGTCTGTTGTCTGTTCCAGAGTCTCGACTGAAAACTAAAGGGGACAGAGCGTTTGCTGTCAGGGCCCCGAGGCTCTGGAACAGCCTGCCCGAGGAAATCAGGTCGGCTGAGTCAGTGAACTCTTTTAAGTCCCTTCTTAAAACATACTTTTATAGGAGAGCCTTTCCCGATCTTATTTGACTTTATTTAATCCCTTTTATTTTATTGTATTTTACTAATTTTATATTAATTTTTCATGCTCTTATCTTTTTTTGTATTATTCTTTACACTTGTTAAAGCACTTTGTAACTTGTTTTTGAAAAGTGCTCTACAAATAAGGATTATTATTTATTATTATCAGTGTGGGCGGCTGTGGCTCAGGAGGGAGAGCGGGTTGCTTGCTAATTGGAAGATTGGCTGTTCCATCGGTGTGTGCCAATCTTCTGATTGGGTGAATGCGATGTAGTGTAACAGCGCTTTGACTGGTCCGAAGACTAGAAAGGCACTACACAAATACATTTTGCATCGCCCTTTTTGCATTTCAGGAGAGAGAGAAAGTGTCCTGATTTGGATATCACATGGTTTTGAACTACCATTTTGATTCCAAAATCTGCCGGCCTTAAGCCATTCTGAACCTAATCTTGGGATGCATTTTTGCACACTGTAGATTTTCTCCCTTATCATCTGTATTGTTCTAAGAAGGGATCTTTTTGCTGTCAATATTGAAGGGAGGCACAATTACAGCAACAAATAATGTGAAAAAATGTGAGTATCTTATAAAGATTGGCTTTAAATAATATGAACCTATTCTGCACCAAAAATAAACGACAACCTTGTAAATCAAGGGGTAAGGGCCAAATATATTCTGTAGCAGTAATGGGCCCAGATGTGAGTTTTAAGTAAATATTTTTCACCGTCCTTACCTGGGGTTTAAATTCAGAGGAGCAAGGCGATTAAATGTTTCCTGTTTTAATTAAAGGCGGTGAGTCATAAGACTGAAAACATATCCCCATGGAAATAATTACAGTGCACCTCATCCATATGTTCCTCCATAAAACACTCACAAAATAAAGGCATCCTTCAAGCATCCTGAGAGAGAGAGGGAGAGGGAGAGAGAGAGAGAGGTATACACACTAACTGAGAGCTTGAACAGTTTCTGCAGCTCCTAAACCTTTCACAGCTTTCAGCAGGTTAATTGATTCCCACCTCAGAATGACATCATTCAAATTTCTCTTTTAAAGCTGAAGGAAATGAGCTGCAGTCGATGGTTAGAACAGAGCCTATTAAAGGGCGGGATTAGGAGGAATTCCTCTGATGTTGAATGAAATAACAGGCTAAGTAAGGCAGTGAGGAAACTGACCTTACCTCACCATCATTCTTGGATAAAACTATTCCCATTAAAGGACAACCACGAAGGCTGACTGCTAATGAACTGCTATCCCATGCTGTGTGTCTGGTCCCAATCTATAAACTAAAAATCTGAACCAAAGTCTACCTAATCCCAAACCAATGATTGTGGGAACAGGTTTTAGCTTCTTCTGGGAGGGATTTAATGCTCTAGTTGCACAGGAGAGTAGAGACTAACAAATACTGTCATACTGTATGCTTTAAAGTCTTATTTCACCTCATCACACCTCTAATGTCACTGAAGAAAAACATGCAAATCCCTTCTCATGGAGCTTACAGCCGTAAACAAGATATATAGGTCATATTCGGAGGCCAGTGCACTGGGCAAAAGTGTTGTGACCACGTTTTTGTAGAGATAAGCAGATATAACTGGCTTTTGGAATGTTTTTGCACTGAGGCATGTTTATCCTGAACCTCAGCAGCTTGAAAACACATTGATGTAAATGTCACAGGCATTAGGTACTTGATGGATCAGAAACAGAAAAACTTTGCTGGCACAAGTAGAGAGACAACAGCCTGAGCTGCCATCTGTTCTTGATCCATCACAGCTTGCATACATCTTTTCCCATTACTCTGAATGGAAACGTGACTCCTGACCAATCAACCAAGAGCATCTGTCTTTTGGAAGATCAAACTCGGCCCATGCTCTACCTCTGACATAGACTTCAGTGAGGACAAAATTAAAGTGATGGCTCAACCCGGAATAATTCCATATTCCAGGACAGTGCAAAGTTTGTTGAAGGTTGTTCCAGTAAATACCTTTTGTAGGCAGAGCTGTTGAGAGGACAGATTTAACTAAAAGTTTTGGTGTCCAAACAAACTAACTGCTGAATGTGAAAAAGAAGTTTAGAAGCCTTGTTAACTAGTTTACCTTAACAGCAGCAGAACAGTGTTCCAATTCAAACTACACACTAATTTAAAGCAGGGTTTGAGTTTGTGGTGCATTCACACTGAAAAACTGACAAAATGAAGTATACTAAAATGTCTATTATCATTAAAATGGAGAAGCTATTTACATCTGTAAAACATTAAACAAATTGCCAATTGTGGTAAGAAAGCTTGAGAAAGATCTTGGAAAACAAAGTATTAAATCTTTTGTTATTTTGGAGCGTTTGCTCTCTTTGGTTGGCAGTAACATTACGAAGTTGTTGTTTAATTGACAACCGTCAACATATGGTATAGTTTCCTGTTAGAGCAATATTTTAAAGGTACAGTGGGCATGTTTAAGATGAGCCATGACTGTGCAGAATCTATCACGGGCAACCACTGCACAACACACACCGGTCAGATTTCTGTAAGGTTTGTACCAAAGTTTGACATGAGAATTTTTAACTTACAAACTACATAAACTGACAGTAATTCTACCTGACATAGCAATGAAGGAAACGTTCTTTCTATGTATGCATGTGATTGTCAGGGTATTTTGACATTTAATTATTTAAACATTTCACTTCCCCACCTGCCTATTCATTTCCACTGCGAAAACAATATACTATAAGAATTAGCATATTGGAAACAGTTAGTATGTAATAAGGAACAGGGATGAATCCCAGGGCCACAGACTTCATTTGGTTGAATTAAAATCTTTAGAGGTTCAAAGCTGATCCTTGACCTTGGAAAAAGCAGTTGACAATGTAATCTCAACCACAGGTCCATTTAGTCGGTGTACGGGATCTTTCGATCATATCAAATGATCAACACATAAGGTTTGCCCAGTTGTCAGGGAATAGTAGGTGCATTTTAGAGCATCTCAACCATTTAGGTAAACTGCATCTGGTTACGAAGACCATTTTATATGATCGAAACCTCAAAAACACCTATTAAATGGATGATGAGTTATATATTTTTTTGTTAGCAAATGGCTAGGCTTATTAGCTTCCTCGCTATACCTCTTGCCCTTTTCGTTATTCCAAGGAGTATTTGTAACTGTTTTACACCTACAGCAAATCCTAACACTTCCAATAGGCAAGATGAATGTGTTTTCCATGCTGAAATGCAGTGCACCGGGTAACAGATACCTTTTCTAGGCACAGCAGTCGGTCTGGGCTTCTGCTTTCTCCTCAGTGGGATCTGGCTCGGACCTTCCTCTTCCTCGCAGCAGGTGAGGAAGACGTGACCACATGGGTAGCCCAGGTACTGGTGGGCATCACAACCCAGTCCTTCACTGCGCACCCGTAAGCCAAGGGCACAGCAGCTACAGCACACCTGCCCATTCAGATACAACACAGAGCCTATTAGGAGTGCGTCACTGGGGTGTCGTTCACCTAATCACCACCTCTCTTTATGGCCCTCCACTTTCAGCCCTGTTTAGTAAACAGCAGAGGAGGGAGAGACATAACAGCTAAACAGGCAAGCATGCTAGTTGGGAAGGGTTTCAGCTGTCTCCTCGATCTGAACCACATGTCATGCAAAGAAAACCAGACATACACCTTTTTCTACTTTATTCTAAAACAATGACCTGGCACAACAGTTTGGCTCAGCTGCATCAACACATGACCAGCTGGCTTGAGGGCCAAACCGCCGGGTTTCCTCTTGGAGAAACAGGGAAAGCTATTTGAACTGACTCTGAGCTAAGGCATGATTCCCATTTCCATATGGAAGTATTCACAGGTCTGAAGGATGCATACAGAAATGGGAGACTTTGGCATTTCCATCCTAATACATCTCAACCTGCCAATAAACACAAATAAACAGTCTGACCTTTACAAAAGCCTCTTTGCTGGCATAGGTATCTGAAATTGAAATCTCACTCTGGCCAAAACAACTACGCATTCCAGCAGATTGTTTAAACAGTTTAAAGTCTAAAATACACTGGCAAACTCAGTTTTCACCATGTTATTGTGGTAGATCCAAAGGATTCTGTACTTGACCACTGCCTATAGTTTGAACAGTTTACAGTGTCCAGTTTTGTCATCTTGAATTATTTGAAACAGTGAGTCATTCCCTACCTGACTCACAAAAACAGTTTTGTATTCTACAGGAAGACTGAATAAATTCTCTTTTTCTTCTATGGAACTTCGTGGCTGGAAATGTGTGCGCCATCTACTCATGATCCTCATGTCTTTCAGTCATGACTCAACCGTATTCCTCTTGTTTCTTCCCTGTCGCTTTCCACTGCCATCTAATTAAGAAAATCTATGGTGAACACTAGGGAAACAACACTGCTGTAAGAGTTCTCATAGACCGTGATGTACCTGGAAGGAGTCATCTGTGCACTTGTCCTTCTCATCCACTTCACAGGTGTCCCCTCCTCTGGCTAAAGTCATACCTGATTCACACTGGCTCTCCTTCAAAGAGCTGAGGCAGCACTGTTTCTCTGCAACACTGACACAAACACATGTACATACACAAGCGGGTTGATTCTGTTCATTCAGTGCAGTGTAGAAATATATATATATTTATACATTACACTGAACGAACAGAATCAACCCGCAAAAAACAAAACAGCAGTTGTGATAACATGTAAAATGACTGAAGACATTGGCGAGTTAGTCATACGGTGATATCAGACCTGTTGGAGATCTGCACTCTACTGAGTGCACTCTTCTAGTATAGAACATTAAAGTGAAAAATTGGTGTGATAGTCCTTTAAATAGTTACATAGTAGTAGTAGATTCATTGTAATTTTAAGCTGCTCTGTTGTGAAAAAGTAAAAAAGGCCTATTCAGCCGATCTAATAACTAAAAATGTGGATATTTGGCTCCAACCAATCATGTTTCATCCAACCAATAAAATCATTCTTATATTATTCACCAATGTTATATACTTCAATGTGACTAAGGTCAGTTCACTTACCTGCATATGGAGTTCTTGTCATTGCTCAGCAGTGGCATGCGGTTGCAGTGGTGATTTTCTGTGGCCCATTTCTTACCAGCAGCACAGCAGCTCTGCAGCAGGTCTTCAGTAGAGACACCTGGACCTTTAGCCCAGAGACATGCCGGTATGCATACATCAGCGCACACAAGACTGATGGAATTAAAACAGTTCTGCAGTAAATCCTCTGTGTCTGCACAGTTACACTGCATGGAACAGACAGAAGCCTGAAGAGTGCAGTGAACACAGTAAGCAGTCATACAGAAACATATGGTAGACTGCACCAGGCCTCAGAGGCGCCTTTAAGATGTCTACAGCTGACTTAAGAGGTGCAGTCACGTTACCAGAATACAGTAGCCCATTTTATGATTGGAAACTTTTTTTACTCAGGTCTGGGGAAAGTTACAGTTAATTTTATAAATCATTTTCATGGACAGTCCACAGATAGGTTTGCGAACAATAAGTAGGACAAATTGAGTCAGCGTTTATAAAGAAATGCATAGGCTGCCCGAGCCACAGTGGAGCAGCAAGGTGGAAAGAGGCATTTGGGAGACAAGTCACAATTGTTTCTCAAATCAGATCTTTAGACTGACTGTCCGCACTGTTTGCAAGTGGTGAGTTTGAATTTGAATGTTGTCCACACATTACCAACCAATCCGCATGGCTTACTGTAGTATCGACACAGGCATCAGTAACTGCACTGGTGAGGCGGCTTTCCAATGCGGAAGCATGAGAAATGGCCCTCACCCCCCAACAAATTGTACTGTCAAGTCGTGTTGCAGTGTTCCTCCGTCACAGCAGACAAACGGAACAAGGGTCTGTCCGTGGGCTAAATGACACATCCACTTTACTACACAACACGCCCCCTGAGATAGCTTTCTGGGATGATCTACCTATTTTAACCCAAACCATGATGTTTTTCTAAACCTGCAGCAGTTTAGAGGGTGTGTCATGTAGCAGGCGTGTCCTGCAGTACTGTGGACCTGCAGATAGACCTACTTGGACAAACTCAGTAATGCAGCAACTAACAAAGTTACAAGCTGATGTTTAGCAGGGATAATGTTTATTGTGGTCATTATCTTATTTTAGTACAATTAACATGGTTAGTAGTAAAAACAAAGTACAGAATTAACAAAGTTGTTTTGCAGGGATTTGGTCATATATCTAAATTTTGTTCTGATGATGACTCGAGATGAATAGTTGTTACAGTTCATCCTGAGACTGATGTGTGTACCAAATATTACTCTGAAACTAAAATGTGGAGCTCATGATCGTACAAGAGGAGCTTAAAATTCTTCGTGTACAGTGCTAAGGCAAACTGAAACTAATGTTAACACTGATAAAACCTTTAGCATCCTTGTAGTTATTAAATCTACTGGCCATATGGGGAAAAAACATGGTTTCTCATAAACAAAGGTGAAAAACCATAGGGCCGTAACAGGGACCTACAGTATTGTTGAATTATCCAAGAGACTGCTGTATTTCTGTGTTTAGGGAACAATGACAATATCATCAAAGAAAGAAATGGGAATTAACAACGGCGAAAAATACTTTCAGAACCAGGCTCTTCCCATTTCGAATCTCTATGAGTCAAAACAAGAGGTTTAAGAAAAATAGGCTTCTAACAGACATGCTTTCAGTCACCGACACAAAGCTGATCGTGCGTCACTATGAAAGTGATTTTGGTTAATGAGGCAGAAATTAAATCGTTTTATGAATGCCTCTGTAAATTCAGTTGTCAATATTAACTGGCAATTTTAGTCATTTAGTGAAAGAATACCAAAATAAAAGTGCCAGTGATGGCTCCTCTTCAAAACATCTCCATTTTACCATCCACTTATTCAGAGGAAAAATGGCACCATTTCAGTGTCATCAACTGAGGGAAATGAGCATAAAACATCTGTTAAACCAGGAACCCATTAAATCCCCATAATTGAGCGAATGCATTTCATATTTCTAAGCCTCACATTTCTGTTGATGCAAAAAAAATCAAATCAGGTCCACTTTCTTGCTTCCAATTAGCTGATATGCAGCAAACCTTGCCTACGTCAAGAGGCTGCTGACGTGGCAGCCATCAGTGATCACTGACATTCGTCGCCGCAGAGTCCCACAGAGACTGAAATGCCCCCCCACTGCTGAGTGTGTGGCAGCAGGCCCGGCTGCTCTGCACGGAGCTCAGTCGGTGGATGAACACACCGCGAGGCAAGCTGCTGCTGCTGCTGCTGCTTGGCACTATAGAGCGGCAAGTGCTCGTCAGCCTCCCCATCGCCTCCATGTCAGACCCAAAGTCGTCTCACCCTGCTGCTTTTATCCACATATTAGCATAAACGCTTGAGCACATACACACACACACACACACACACACACACACACACACACCAAACTAGTCTCTGTGCCCTTTGAAGAAAAGCCACTGACAAAGAGCTTTTGTTTTTCAACTCAATAAACCTTTGTTGTCTTACATACGGTACAGAACATTTGCATATTCTTCATATTCACACTGCTGTGAAAAGAAGCTTTGTTTTATAACTTTGAGGACATGAACCTAATCAACAACAAAAGAAGATAACACCAACAATTTTCTATAACTCTCATTCAGTCCTCATGCATAAAAGCATCCAGTTATGAATACACTTGTGCTATACACACACATAGCACAGTTCATTACTGTCCACTTCACTGGAATAATTCCTGTTGAAACAAGCTTATTTCTCATAATTAAAAACAGCTACATCAGAATTCACTCCATGGGTGTCAAATAAAGCATTATGATCAGATTCAGCAGTTTTCTGCCCGCATTATTTCCTTGATGTAATATCCACTGTATTCACCTCCAAGTATAATACGTCTAAACTATGCTAATCCCATACTGCAAAGTGTACATTCAGAAAAAAAGAATCAGAGAGCCAGGAACGCCTTAAATAGCTCCGCTTTGAAACTCCTTTTATTTCACTTGGCTACATTCAGTTTCATCCCAGCACTAGCTCCTTTAAAGCTTAGTAAAAAAAATAATAATTTAAAGCAAAGGCTCTGCAACTTACTCTGCATTATTTATAAGCACTGTCTTCAGAAAATAGTGTCAAGTTGAGAGAAGAAGAACCTTAAAAGTATAACTTTAGATTTTTTCAATTATTATTGTAGAATTGATGTCCTTGTTGATAGCCCACTTTAAAAAGACTCATCTCAAACGCAGTAATGCCTGAAGCTGATGTATCCATGTTTTATGAACGCAAACTGTGAGATCTGTGTCTAATCCCAATAAGGAACAAAGTAAGGTTTGTGTCCTTTCATTATTTCAGCAGCTCTGAGGACAGATGAACAAATACAACAGGAAAAGATGCTCAACCAACATCTCTACTTGTTTTTCGTAGATCTTCTGAATGTTTTCAAGACGTAAAAACACCATCCCAGTTTGATTTTGTACAGAGGAATAAGAAACTGTGGGATTGTCACAACTGCACAGGTTAATTATTTCGCACTGACACTAAATGGGAAAGTTGGACGCAATGCAATTTCCCACTGTTATGTGAAGTATGTTCCAGGAGTGCTTGCCAAAGGCCAAACATGAGGTCCAGCCGGAGGATCAGATGCAGCTTAACACTCAGGAGTAGCCTACTAATTACCCGACAAACAATGGAAACGAGCACACATATTTATAGCTCAGAAACCACACTTTTGTCAATAGCAATTGTTCAAAGAGTCAACATGTTTGCTGGAAAGGCAGCACTGCCTCTCTTCCAAAATGGCCTGCGATATAGCAGATAGACCACAAATAAGTGACATCTGTCCAATTAAGAAGCTCCCATTGGGTTTGTTAGGACTGATTTGCCCGGCCTCACACCGCTCGCCCATCATTACTCTGTCTGGCCAAACACAGACCTGTCTCACACCACACTGAGACCCCTGTGGGACACATCTGTGCTACCTGAGAGTGTGTGACAAAATGCAGACACCAACTGCAACAAAAACACGCAGACAAGAACATGCGGCGTGATAAATGTTTGCAGCCACTAATGTCTCTGGATGCTCTTGGTGCTAATGATGTGACGGTATATTAATTGGCTGATTTTGAAGTCTCAGCCAATTAGTGTTGACCACTACTGATATGATGGAGGTTCTTCTCTAAATGAACTGCACTGAAATTGTGTATTAATGTAGTTATCCGATAACATTTAAAGAAATTCTTCATTTAAAGAGAGTGATATATATATAAATAAATATATATATACTGTGCAGTATTTTGAGAAAGTTTTACTGACATTTAGTACATCTATTGGATAAACCTTAAAGTTGTATTAATCAATATTTTTTTAACAATGGATCAAATGACCATATGTAATGTTGAACGTTCCTGTTGAAATTTCAGAGATGTGATACATGATGGATTCTATGTATCGCCTCAGAGTGCGTTTTGTTTCAATGTATTTTTATGTATGTAGTGCAGCCAGTACGAATGGAGGCACTCAAGGCATTCAGGGAGTGTTGTTTTTATGATGTAATAATCTGAGCAGGCCAGAGCGGGTAATGGCTTAGAACAATGCAAGGATGCTAACTGCCTCAACTCCCCCTACTCTGGCACCGTCGCAGGCTTTCTCGCCTTGAAACACATAGTGGTGGTCATTCATCAATATGCTTCCTAAACAAATGAACCGGGCAAAGTGGAACTGACTTACTCCTTCCCCACAACCAATACAAGGAGGCTGTCAAAATTATACACTACACACAATGCAGCAGATTGTCAGGAACATTTTTCACCAGTCAGTGGCTTATTAGATCTCAAGTGGCTGAAACACAGTACTACAGAGTTCTAATGTAAGGAACAATTTCAAAATCCTGAGAATTGTTTTATTGTTTGGTTGCTTTCGCTTAGCTGGTGACTGGAGAGAGAACCCCAATCACCAAAGATATGTGGCAGGTGATCAAAAACATCAAAGGCTACAAAAGTAGGTAGCATCATGTGTGAGGCCACGTTACCTGATGAGGCAATCGAGAGGAAATCAACAGTCTTGCAGAGTGGTGCACAGAGAACGACCTACTGCTCAACGTCAGCAAAACCAATGAGCTGATTTGTTGAATTTAGGAAGAAGGAGATGAAGACACACACTG